AAATACGTCATATAATTTGGAAAACAACTTTGGTCTTTGGACGTGGCATAACTTCAATTTAATGGCTGTGTAAATACGGGGAAGTGTATGAACTGAATACTGAATGCTTCAATGAATTCGATATCCGGAACAATAATTCCTCCCCTCACGGTAGATATAGTAACCAAACTTCAAAACTTATACTATCGTCTTAATGTTTTTAATGTTATAGGTATCAAGACACGGCGAAACCAATGATTGAATTAGGTGCCTAGGGGTTTCTGGCGCGTAACATTATGTCGATTATTAGCTTTCGTCATGGAGGCTCCAGTGATAGAATCTATGGGCGTAGAACAGGGGGAACCCCGCGCTGATGTGAGTGGTGATTTGAAATGCGTAATGAGGCGCATACTGCACTACGCACCTGATCATCAAGGTCAAGCTGGTAAGCTAAGGGCGTGTTCGAACTTTCTCGCTCTATAATCGGTGAAGGGATACACCGACTGGTGTTTATATTCTAACTTAACCAAGTCAATTTTCTGGATAAGAGGCGATGAATTATGGTAAGGCTGTGCCCAGGAGCACAAGGCATATGTAGCTGAGGCTCTCTTTTTAACTGAAATGGACATGGGGTGGAAGCCACACAAGGCACCGTTAGATTCAATTGATAAAGAACCGTGTGTCGCTGATTAGTTAGAAAGTTGACGAATTAGGAGGCTATTGAGCGCCCATATGTCCTATGACGCCCCTGAATGATCGGGGCCATGCACGTTTCTAGGGGTTTGGACGGCTGCATTGACTATCCGTTCGCCTACTTGAACCATTCGTCGGGTACTCATCTTGTAATGGAAATACGGGGAGATCGAGCTCAGCGCCATAGAGAGCAGGGAAGTTTATAGATTCGTCAGATAATATCTCTGTGAAATCGAGATAATTCTGGTACGTTTGATCATGTATCTTAGGTAGTCCGCATGATTAATACCTCAACATGTTTTAGTGTTAACCCACGACTTACATTGATTTCGGTATTAAAGCCATCTTCTGGATTGAAAAGATCCGCCACGCAATTATGTGGAACCGGAGGCGGATGGGGTCTGTCCTCTCGGTCCTCCGAGGGCTGTGGTCTTTCCGTCCGAGACAACGCCGGTAGACATGGAATAGGTGAGAAACTGCAATTGAATGATGCGTCTGTATTTGAGCTATCTTGCGAATTCTATATTTTATTATACTTATTAGTATCTATCTAGTTTAGGGCAACGTGCATGAAGAAACTGTGCAAGCAACTGACCTGGATCTGATTCGTGCTTCCTTTTGCGAGCTTTGCAGCATCAATGACACGTTGGATTGCTACATCATCGAAGCCTTGATCATGTAGTAAAGTTCGGAGAAGTCGGTTTTCTTCTTGAATCCTCTGGGCTTCCTTTTGCATCTCAATAGTTGCTTGAGCCCCTAACCTCATACATTCATTCCATTGCTTTTCGAGATTTTGGATATAAGCTTGCTTCCTTGCTCTTGAGTTTCGCTGGTTGCGACGCAGACGCGCGCGCTGACCGCACGAGTTAGCATCGAAAATAACTTTTTGATACCGCCATGATAGATTTTAGGATTCTCATTATCACTTGCCTCCGCTTCGACACCAGCAGCGTTTGATTGTTCCATAATAAATGTTTTACTCAAGATTCGTTGTGGTTAATGTTATGGGCATAAATGAAATGAAATTCGTAATTGTTACGGTTCACATATCTTAGGCATCTTAGCTATCTTTAGCAGGTATCTTTAGCGTTTAGTGGCAGGGGTTAACTTTCATGCACCACAGTATAAATACTGTACACAGTTACTACTAGGTCACCGTTGCTCTATGGAATAGCGTCAATGAATATGAATTCATATACTATATGTCCGGCATACATAACTAACTCCTCAAGAATATACATCGAGTTTAGATTATATATACTGCGTGAAACTTTCTTTGATAGTAGCGAAGGCCCATAGGCCGTTTGCCATGATAGAGATGTAGGATAGAGTATGTTAGATGTAGACAGTGCTGTAAAACCGCGCACTCGGTATTAGGAATTATTGTAACTATATTGTATTTATTAAGAAATGTAAGAGACCCAACGCAACTATAAAATTTCGATATACTTTGCTGCGTACATCGTGTTGTATTTGTCTTACATTCCATCTCTGTAAGAATCCGTTCGCCCCCTATCTGGCCGTCCCTCTAGATCCTTCTCGATAACGACGACATATATCGGGCATTTCTCGACAGACATATCCGTCAAGTTGGCCTTAGAGCTAATGTGATAGTAAAGCGTCGTGGCCTAGACTTCATAGTTCATATGCTGTGCCGACGACGACATATGGGAGAAAGCGGTTCGGACGTCCGTATTTAAGGAGGCTATTGTAAGTTGTTATAAAAGGGCTTAGTCGACAAGGTAGATAAGTTATTGTAATAATTTATCAGATTTAGTACTGATGACGATAGCGAATCCCAAATTTGTGTCCATTCCATAAATGGCTTGTTAGTGAGAGACCGGCCCCAAGTTACAACAGTCATCTGTTGAGTCTTTTTGTCACATTCCGAGGTTCCATCCACAGGTCTTCGAGGAAATACTTCGCCGAGGTTTATGCCTTTGTGCTATCTGGATGCTTCACGCTGGCTTCGACCAAGGTAAACTACCAGTCACCTAGACTGTAGTAACTTTTTAGGGCTTCTCTCTTGGCATCGTCAGTTGCCTTAGTCCTTGCACCCGGTGTGTCTTTCGGAACTATTTGGATTGCCGGGAGTTCCGTTAATAACCTTTGAAAATCTGCTTCTAAATCAATGTTAGAATAGTTATCATAGAGTACAAGTCATTACTTACCAGGTAGTTCTTCGTCAAATTTCTCCACAGCCTCTAAGAGAATATCCCTATTCCCTGGGTTGCCTCTCGCTGCCCAATAATTCCGTAGTCGGCGCGAAGAATCGACTCCTCTACCTTATTTCGATCAGATGCGAGCCACAATACACGCTGTTCATGTCCTTCACAGCGATCATCTCTAAAATACCGAATGGTGTGTATCTGCCGTGCGCCAATCGCGATGGAGAGGAGATAATGGGCTTCGGCAAGCTTGTCGATATCGTCCGACTCTAGCTCTTTGTACTGATACCATTCACACTTGCGCTCAACAAATTTATAGAAATGGTATAGAGCCCTCTCTTGCAGGCGATGTTTGTCGCAATAGCAGGAATGGTGTCTTGGTAGTGAACACTGCACCCCATCGCAATAAGCCTACGAACTTGTAAGTAAACAACTCTAGTGGCATGATTGACATGAATAAATACTTACATCGCAAGACATGGCTTATGAATTAGGGTTCTGAGTAGCTTAAGAACCTTATATTATGGTCGAAAGAAGCTACCTTAGGGGGCGGTTGGTTATCGGCTTTGTCGATATTGCCGAAGTAGTTGAAAATAAAAGTAATGTAATTAGTGTAGGGTATATATAGTCGGAATGCTAGTGAATCTGCTTGACTATGGTCCCTATTAGATGCAACTATTGAATATATCGTAGGTAGGATGATGTTATTCACATTCTTCCGAAGACTTAGCTGTACAAATAAAATGTGAACAGGTGAATGATATGCCACGGGTCGAATACTCGAGGACACGTATTTATAGGATTCATGTTGAATACCGCTATTGCATAGCAATAACCTACGCACGTTTGAGTTGCCATGATGGTCGTATAGTTTCTTAATCATGATGTACGTGCTCAAGAGGTATGTATAGCAGTAAAGAAAATAGTATAGTAATAAGATTGATGTATTTGTCAATGTTAAACTGTTGGGAAGTATTGATAATGTTTCTGTGTAGTCTGTGTATGTAAGAGATGGAAAGTTTTGTAATGGGAAGAGCGAAGATATTTTAAATCTCGAGTCAAGTTTAACTTTGCTAAGTCCAGTTCCCATGACGACGCAACAAAGTTCAATGCGCAAGGACGTCTGATAACAGTTGCTACCTTAGAAAATGAGATACTGAGGTAGATACCTATTTAAGTTAGGAAGCTGCTATTCCATGAATTGTATATACTTTAGGTACTTCCTACCTGTCTAAGTATCTACCGACATGTTGGAAGGTCTTAACGTAATAGTATAGGCAGGAGTGGAAGTACCTATCTTATATAAAGCGACATGTGTACCCGAGTACCTAGGTAGGTGCTATAACTCTATTTTCCTCGAAGGAAGAAGAGTTTTATAGATAACTTATAAAACACAGTCGCGCGCCGTTGTAGTTTACATAAGTACCTCTTAGGTATGCGCTTAGGTTGAATTCTACGGCAAAATCAATTACCCCTAACATATTGGGGCAAAGACTAAAGCGTGAAGTTTTTCTTACAAAAGCATCATACGAACCTCATTGTCATATATATAATAGTATTTACTCTGTTTGATAGAGTTTATCGCACAAAGCTACCTCCTACCTAATGCAGCAAATAGTTGGAAACTTATGATCAGCGTTTCTAGCAAAACAAATAAAACTAAAAAACGCTTTAATTTTATTTACTTGACGGTGTCCATCCTTTTGTGTACTGCGGGTAGTTAGCTAGTATAATAAGGTTAAAATCAACCTCTGATGGTCTCTGAATCTTAAGGTCTTCTTTTTGCCAATGTCTGAGTCACTAAATGGCCTCGCAGGTATTAGGTTTAAACGAGAAATGCGGATTATACGAGGCTCACCGCCAAGAGATATATTAAAAGTAAGCCCTACAAGGGTCTGAATAGCCTCATTTTTGGGATCCACTCAAAAAATAAGAACATCTACCTTTGATTGACCAAAAATTAAAAATTCATTATTTGATACTAGAAACACTACTTATACTATATCAAACATTCAGAAAGCTCAAATATGGTATCGAGAAGGGAAACATGTATGCATCTTTCTTTATACTTAGTTATATTATATTACTTAATTATTAACCAGAGCTCCTCATTAGTCTTCTTTTCTAATCATTAGAATCGTTAATACACTGGTCATCAAGTTACTTGGTCTTACATCCTGTCTTCCCACACCGATCCGCGTATGCTAGTCCATGTCCGAACTTGAATACTGGATCCTTGGTATCAAACGGCACATCTTCCTTAGACGCTTCGACAGCTGCATTCGAACGTGGCAAGTCATACGGCAATTTGCCTTCAGGCTCAGCAACACCAAATATGATATCGAGGAACGCCTCAGAGCTACTTCCAAAGCTAGCTAGCATTGCCACTGATTGATCTGCAACTTCAGGCACTGCGGCCGGTCGATCTAACATCATGTCGACGATAGTCGGCACCTTCGAGTATATAGTTTCTTGACGCGCCCGTTCTTCGGCGGAGAACTCAAGAGATCCGGCGTGGAACCCGGACTCGAATCCTCCTGGTCGCGGTTCGTAAGGAGCTGCCAGCCGTAGAAGAGCGTAATCAGCATCCTCGGGCTTGTCCACCACCGTATAAGTACGATTTTGAAGTAAAGTCGCATTGAAACCTTCAATATAGAATTTAGTCTCCGACCCAACGTTACGAAGTGGCAAAGTCTCGTTCTTGTTGGTAAGCAGTGTGTACGAGCGACGCTGGGCTTCATTGCCTAAGCGCGTAAAATAATCATTCCCAACAATTCGAGCGGCAGCATCTGGGTCGACGAATGGGTTATCAAAAAGTCCCAAGATAAACTTTTCGCGCAGTAGCTTTCGCACAGAGGCATTGATGCGTTCTTCGCTTATAACACCCTCGTTGACTAACTGCACGATCAGCTCAGGACGCGTCTCGCCGCCGAATTGGTCGCACCCGGCTTCGAGGATACGCGCTGCTCGCTCTAGCTCTGATAAGTGCTCTACTCCCCAAGCTCGAGCAGGCATGTATTGACCAGCGATGTATGTATCAGTAATCAAACCCCAGTCGGTTACCACAACGCCCTCGAATCCGAGCTCGTTGCGTAGAAGGTCTGTGACAATCTCCTTGTTAAATGAAAACCCTACAGGTTCATACTGAGTGCCAATCGGACGGCTGTAGTACGGCATCATTTGGCGGGCGCCTACGGCGACAGCTGCCTTAAAGGGGATAAGGTGGTGGTTGAAGTTATTCCCAGGATAGGTCTCGTTCTTCCCATAGGTGAAATGGCTGTCTTCACCGTTTTCCATCGGACCTCCACCGGGAAAATGCTTCGTCACGGTACTCACTGAAGTAGAACCGAACTTCTCGCCTTGGAAGCCTTTGATATATGCCGTAAGGAGTGCAGCGGTTAGGTTCGAATCCTCACCAAATGTACCAGAGATTCGTGCCCACCGCGGCTCTGTAGACAGGTCTACTTGCGGGTGCAGCGCAGCGCGTAGGCCGACGGCTAGATATTCTTCTCGAGCGATCTCAGCGAATCTCTGAACCAAGCCGACATCTCGAAGTGCAGCAAGCCCGAGAGTTTCGGGCCACTGAGAGAAGCGGCCTGCATTGAAGCCAGTTCCGATATTCTCAGTGAAGTGGTGTCGAGGATCAGAAGATAGTGTTATAGGAATTCCAAGACGCGTCTCTAGAGCTCGTTGTTGGACAAGATTGTAGAACTCAGCAGACTGCTTCGCATCGGTGATATCACCAACGAGGTTAAAATGGGTTATGAATTGGTCCCCAAGCATGAAGTTGGTGCTATTCCGGAAGGCAGCTTCACTCCCTTCATCTAGCGTGCCGTTAGGACCCATGAACAACATCGCATGGAACATTTGACCAGCTTTCTCCTCCAGGGTCATCCGCTGAAGGAGATCTTCAACTCTATCGTTGACACATAGAGAAGAGTCCTTATAGGCTGGGGCACTTGAATTATTGCTAGTTGCATAGCTGAGGAATGGCTGTTTCGACCCGCGGGGTGTGCTGAAGCAGAAGCCATTAAGAGGCCACGCTGATAATGCCAATAAGGCAAGTAAACGAGAGCTCATTATTCTTCGTGATATTGAAGGATGCTTGATTCGAGAGCGGTGGCTCGGTGCCTGGCTTGTAGAGATTCATAACTTGTCTTCCCCGAGACTCTCTCCTATTTATGAAGCTACGGCAACATGTACGGCGGTAATGGAGAGGCAGAGATTTACGGCGAACCACGTTTGAAAACATCACGAAAGGATCATAAGATCAAAATGATGTCCAGCCGATACTGAATCAGGTCTGTCGGCCCTTCCATCGGCCTATACTTCGTACACTACTGAGTCCGCTGTCTCGGCACACGTGGTTATGCCCCCAGCTTTTGCTTCCCCACGCCAACTTATCCAGACAAAAAGGCAATTTGGGGTACAGTATGCGGAGACTGTGGGGACCCCAACCGGGTGTAAGCGGCGGTCCATCCTAATACATCTTGGGTCGGAATAAATTACCACTTCTTGGCATTGCAGAATAATGATTCTAGCAAGGATATTGAGGAGATTTTTTCGTAGCGCGGGAGAATAATCGGTAAATCTCTGGAAGTCGCTATTATTTAAACCGAATGCCTTAGAGGGTAGAGGTAGACCTTGGTATAGATAGGTATTAGTTCATGCCTAGTAAAAGTTAGCTTCTATGATGCCGCCTTACCTATTATGAATATGTCTCTATAATCTACTGAATCGTGTAGTTCAGCAGGTACCTCGTTACGTTATGAGAACGTACTCACTATTATCACCTTCTATAGACGAAATTTCCCATATACTCCTTACTCTTATACAATGTGTGTACCTTGTGAAGCTGGTCTATCCTTATTGTATTAATGCTGTTGAGTATTATAACACGTTTTATAGTAGAGTAATATGCCTAATACCAAATGTTAATCCTAGAGACTTGATAACATGTTCCACTTATAAACATACCTTAATAAACTAGAAATCAATAGTCATAGTGTTAGTTTAGTAAAAGTGCTATTAGTTACTCCTGAAAAATAGGCAGTGACGCGTCCGCGCTTCCTATAGTCACTTGTTATGGAATCTTCTGTTTTAATCTGTAGACCATTTTTGGATAAGTTCATATCTGTCTAGGTAGGTAAGTGAAGAACATGCTATTGTTTGACTTGGCAACAGGTTGGTGGTCTATCTTCAATAAAACAAATATAGTAGGCTATTATGTTGTATAAAGTTGTATAAAATCAGCTCTCTTATGCCACATATAAGTCTGGCCTTTCTGATTAGTTAGCCACACCTCAACGCACATCCAATAGACTTTTTATAAAATCAATTAAATAGCCTTATAATTATTTAAGATATTTAATAATCGGTATTATTCGATAGAGCTTATTGTGCATAACCTTTTTTATACCTTTTGCATCTTTTGCAAATCTTATGCGATAGAATGACAAAGGAAAATGTTGCCAATTGCGGGGCGATTCTACGGATCTGATTGATTAGAAAATCCTACTTCATATAAACGGATTATCAAATACTATAAAGTTTACACTGTGCATTTCAATGATACAGTCTTTGCTGTACCCCAGATTTTACAGGGACTTACCATTACTATCGCCCCACTTGCTCCGGCATCGCAAGTAACTTTTTGTGTGGTCCAATCAAAATGACTGAATTGTCAATTGTCGCAATGAATTTTGTGTGTTACTTTTTTTTTTTCGCTGAAGTATTTCTTATCGCATACCTTTGCTCCTGCGATGCCAATTCAAAAGTATGAGGACAGCTAATATCCTGTGCCGTAGAGGCACACCTCTTCGAGTACGTATATTTCATATATTGCACCCAGTCCTAGAATTAATTAATACTTTATATAGGGTCTTCTAACTCGAAATTGCCAAGGACGCATCCCTTTAACACGTACCTTTGCGACTCCCACATTCGACACCTCGAACCCACGAATACCGCCGTACCTAAAGTTGGCCAAGAATTATGAAAAGGTCAAAGAGGTACTGGGCAAAGGGGCTGCCCTTACCTTGGCTGAGAAGATTCTCTATAGTCATTTAGATAATGTCGAGGAATCCCTTACAACTAATACGGATGGTGGACGAAATATTCGAGGGACGGCAAATCTTAAGCTAAAGCCTGATCGAGTTGCCATGCAAGATGCCTCAGCACAAATGGCCCTTTTACAATTCATGACCTGCAATCTCCCTTCGACAGCTATCCCGGCTAGCATTCACTGCGATCACTTAATTGGGGCGAACGAGGCGCACAGGCTGACTTGGAAGCGGGAATCAAGGTAAACCAAGAGGTATTTGACTTCCTAGAATCTGCGTCGAAGAAATACGGAATCGAATTTTGGCCTCCTGGTGCTGGTATTATACACCAGAGTGTCCTGGAAAATTATGCTGCTCCCGGCCTGATGATGCTGGGCACTGACAGTCATACGCCTAACGCTGGAGGTCTTTGTACGATAGCAATTGGTGTTGGTGGGTGCTGATGCTGTTGAGGCTCTTGTTGGCGCGCCATGGGAACTTAAGGCCCCTCGTATTTTAGGGGTAGAGTTGACGGGCAAGCTTAGTGGCTGGGCTGCACCAAAGGATGTCATTCTTAACCTCGCGGGACAACTTACGGTGCGCGGCGGTACTGGGTTCATTATCGAGTACTTTGGACCTGGTGTAGAAACACTTAGCTGCACTGGCGCCTCGACAATGTGTAACATGGGCGCCGAAGTTGGCGCTACGACTTCTATTTTCCCCTTTAATGCCGCCCACGTACGATATCTGGAGGCGACACACCGACACGATGTAGCAAGGGAGGCAAAGAAGTTCTCCGATATTATTCAGCTTAAGGCTGATGCTGGTGCGAAATACGACGAAGTTATTACCATCGACTTATCCACACTAGAGCCTCATATCAACGGACCCTTTACCCCTGATCTATCTACGCCGTTATCTCAGTTTAAGCAAACAGTACAGGAGCAAAACTGGCCTGACAAGCTATCAGCAGGTCTGATCGGAAGTTGCACAAACAGTTCGTACGAGGATATGACACGTGTAGAGGGCATGGTCCGTGAGGCGATAGAGGCCGGTTTAAAGCCCGCATCCGACTTTTACGTAACGCCGGGAAGTGACCAAATCAGGGAAACTTTACGACGAGATGGTCCTCTGGATACGTTTAAAGAAGCCGGTGGTACTGTACTTTCAAATGCCTGCGGCCCTTGCATTGGTCAATGGAAGCGACATGATGGCGTCGAAAAGGGGACCCCTAATGCTATACTTACCTCGTATAACCGTAATTTCCGTGGCCGCAACGACGGAAACCCAGATACCATGAACTTCCTCGCATCGCCCGAAATCGTCACCGCCATGACTTTCGCAGGCACTACCACCTTCAACCCTATTACCGACTCGCTTCCTACCCCATCTGGCAAGGAGTTCAGATTTACTCCTCCATCGGGTCTCGAAATCCCAGCACAGCCGTTTGAGATAGCTCGAGAACAGTTTCGACCTCTTAGCCAAGCCCCCGACCCGTCTGTTGATGTAGCCATTTCACCCTCTTCCGAACGTCTTGCGCTTCTAGAACCGTTTGACCCTTTCCCTACCTCCGATCTCTCAGGCCTTCGCGTATTAGTCAAAGTCACCGGGAAATGCACGACGGATACCATCTCTGCTGCCGGTCCTTGGTTGAAGTATAAAGGCCATCTTCCCAATATTAGCGAGAATACACTCAACACAGCGATAAATGCAGAAACTGGCGAAGTTAACGTTGCTTACGACTTAGACGGGTCTAAGCACACGATTCCCGAACTAGGAAAGCGCTGGAGGGAGGCTGCACGACCATGGTTAGTGGTAGCAGAGCATAACTACGGAGAGGGTAGCGCACGAGAGCACGCTGCGCTCCAACCGCGATACTTAGGTGCCAGAATTGTGCTTTCCAAGAGCTTTGCGCGTATCCACGAGACGAACCTGAAGAAACAGGGTGTCGTGCCGCTGACATTCGCCGATGAGGCTGACTACGATAAGATCAGTGCTGGCGACGAGGTATCTACGATTGGCTTATATGAGATGCTGCAAAATGGTGGTAAGGGTGAGGTAGCACTTAAGGTGAAAAAACAGAAAACCGGAGAGGAAGTGCTTATCAAGACAAAGCACGCTGTTAGCAAGGACCAGGCAGGTTTCATTCTGGCGGGTAGTGCGCTGAATCTGCTCTCGAAAAAGTAAGTGACGAGGATAAATTTGAAGATAGATGGAGATTGCCCTACGTGCTGGATGACAGATATGTATGGTCTATGTTCATATGGCAAAATTATAGACAAGCATGCTAAGCGGCAAGATACGAAAAATTTAGTCGAGATGTAAAAAAGAAATATAGACATGATAACGTACCTCTATCCTCTACTCATTTTACTCCGGAAGCCATTTCATTAATAAGCTGTTACATATTACTTATAGCATTATTGATGTTTCCTACCTATTTTCATAGTCGTCAAACTTTAGCCACAACGAAGGGATAAATACCTATGTATAGTAAGCATGATGTAATAACTAGTATAAAATGTCCAGCCTAATTCACTACCTGATATACTTATTGCCTTACTTGATTATTAATTTAGCGACTACATTATAAGGGTAGGTAGTAGTTAGTAAAGATGACTATAACAGTCAAAATATTAAATTCAGCTTAACTTTTAAAAGAGATTTCATTACCCGGAACCCCGTCATAATCACTTATTAAATAGCTAACCTGATGTTTCAGAATGTTGCTGGTAATTCTCAAAGGTAACCCTCACTAAGGATTGTGGCGTATGTACCCCGTCGATCTATTGTAACTCAACGGAAGTAATATAAATTATAGCTGTGTAATTAGTAACAGTCTATAATTTTTGTCTCACGTATCTGTTCCTTCAACAAGAATAAAAAAGCTAGAACAAAAAGTACGATTCCCTTAAAACTACTGATGATGCCAAGCATTTATATTGAAATACTAGGTAATTTCTGGTAATACCATACGCATAGTAATTTCTCAGGATGATATCCGAGTCGCATGTAAATGCGACCAAGGTGTACAGTGTCGATTAGCTACCTCGAACCAACCTGGTTCATTTAATATTTCTAGCTCTTCCATGAACTTCAAGCCACCTCCTAGTCGGTAATATATTCCTCTCCAAAGACGCCTCGCGCCACCCGATGCAATGCTCTCTAAAAATCATTTCCACATTGTCCATATTGCCGTGCCGTTAAGAGCCTAGCTATTCGTAGCAGCGCCAGCCAAATACGTTATATATGTGCATTTTTGAATAGTTCTCGGACAATCAACTTCGCGGGTAGCTAGTTTAAACGGCTTCTGCTGGATCTTCCTCCATTTCGATATCGCTATCTTCATCTACATTAGTAATTTTACTTTCCATTTCCTTTTGTTGGATCCCATTTTGACGGCCATGATGCTTTTGCGCGTAATACTGGTCTGTCATCGCGTCTAGTTCATCTAGAGCGGATAGCCAGGCGGGGTTATTCCGCACTCGATCAGGTAAGTCGATTCTAGGCGCATTGTCGCCTTCTTCTAGTCTCCGCTTTACTGCACGAGCTGCAACTTGGCCAAAATTACTTTTTCTACTTCCTCGTTGACGAATCTCGTTCTGCTTTTCGAGATACCACTTCTTGGAGCGAGGGCGTGTCCAGTGGACCCGCGGGTCTATATGACCAAAATGTGCTGCTGGACGAGTTGGGCGCAGAGGTTGTTGATATTCAGGTAGAGCGAATGATATAGAGCCAGGTCTATTAGCTTCATTAAGTTTGCCGTATATAAGAGTCGAATTTATCAGGATCATGTTTGGATATCCAGACCTGCCGCCTTTCCTCGGGGTTCAGATGTTTCCAACGTCGGTTTTGAATTATAGATGCAAGAGTTGACTCGCCGGCTGGTGCGTTGATAGGCCTCTTTGCGGCGTTTCGATTATTGGTGAACGGTGCAGTCTTTGGCGCAGCGTGATGACGTTTTGCTAAGGGACGTTTCTCCGTCATCTGCGGCCCACTGACTGTCTGCGTACCCGAAGGATCTAGATCTCCCTTACTTGGTGACTGGTGTGTAGGATTAGATGCTTCCTCAGAATTTAACCGAGGTAGCGGAGTACCTAAATCAATTCTGGGGGTTTTGGGGGTGGAAATATTATCTTTGTTGGATTTTCAAGTATATTGCGTATATACTCATTTACTTGTTCCTTCGTCGGAATCCCATTAACCTTTATAGTGTCTGATGTTGCAACTGTAGTAGGAGCAGTAGACACTACTGGAGGGGGATTAGCAGCAGCACCATTGACAATTCTTCCAGTATCTTCCGCCGGTATTGGTACTTCGTTTTTTGGTTGACCTTGATTATCATCTTGCCTGGCTTCAGCTGCGGGGTTTTCAAGGGGCGACTTAGGACGGTGGACAGAGACCTGTTTGTCGTTGGCTGGTTTGGGTTCCGTAGGGGGTGAAGCGACCTGCGAGTCTGGCGAAGGCAACGTTGGCGGGGGCCGAGGTGCGATATGAACGTGAGGCTTCCGCGGGAGGGGCCGAATTGTCGAGTAGGAACTTACTTTGCGAACACCATTCTGCTCCTTCCGACCTGTTGCACTATTTCGATGAGGCTTATTTGTGTCTTTACTTTTGGAGACTTGCACCTTTATTGACTCTCCCTCGCGTCTCGACTCGGAAGCAATATGTGGAGTGCGAGGGTTCGGACCTCCAGTATGATCTTCTTGATGCTTCTCTGTACTGACCTTCAGATTTTCAACGGCATTACTAGAAGGTCGGGGACGAGGGTTGTCATCTTCTGTGAGGTCTATGATTCCTTGAGTTGGAACTTTATAACTCTTAGAATTGTCATATAGACCTTGTTGCTTATGTGACCGATCCTTGTAGAAGGACTTCGAAGCTGAACGATCATCCCGTGACCTAGACCTTGACGACGTCTCTAACGGAGAAGAGACTCCTTTCTTTGGCCGAAGAGCAAAGTCAGAAGCTGCCACGGGTTCATGATCGCGTTCACCAATATTCGTCGATGCCGCAATAGGAGATGAATAAGAGCCGCTCTCAGAAAATGAGGAAACACGATGACGGGCCTCTATTTCGCCTTTATCCACGTCAGTAGACAATCTTGGCCGTTTTGGTGGCCGTTGACTCGAGGAAGCAGTATCTTCAGTAGAGCTAGCATAAAAAGGATGCTTGGGCTCATGCTTTCGAGTGCCTACTGGTTCATGCTTCGGGTTAGAAAACGCGCTGCCGACGGTCTTTCTCGCTACCATTTTGATGGGAAGGTGCTTCTTTTCGTTCACAGGCCCCGCCATTGGAAGGGGAGCCTTCACAGTGATAGCATCTCCTAGCTTCTCCGATGGGGGGATCGTGGCAGCAGAATTGCTTTTGGGCTGTGATGCGGACCGTTGCAAATGTTCATCATTGCTTGACTGCTGATGACTGGATGGAGTAGAAGAGGGCATCATAACGGTTGTAGGCTTAGGTGCGTCTATGACGTCTGAGTATGTTGGTGTGCAATAAGTCCCTTGATGAAGATGGTAGCTTCGCATTCTTCGAATTGACATCGTTGTAAGATGTACTGATTATTCTCCATGACTCAATTTGTGGGATAACCCAATCACACTCTATCTAAGAACGTGATGCGGCAGGAAGGAGGCTTCGTTAAGTCCCAATGCGCGGGTAGCCGCGAGGGCTTATGAAAATATCGATAAGATACCTGCGTTCGTTCCCTTGAGTTTTGTCGAAGTCGTGTCATCTTAGCCGCCTTTTCCCTTACTATGGAAATAACTTCAGTGATTACACTGGGAACTACCTGAAGTAGAAAGTCAATACTTGAAAACTATGAAATAAGTGAGATATCGTGGGGATGCGCTACCGGTAAATTTAATTACTAAATCAGATAAAAGTAGAAACCAATCTGGGTAGATAATTAAAAAAAAAACGAGAAAAAAAGAAATGTGAGTTGGTGGGGTGAATGACAGACAGGTACTTAATGAAATGGTTGAACAAACCCGTTAAAAAATGGCGGCAGCAATAATAACAGGAAGATAGGGGAAGTAAGAGCTTGCTGAAAAAAGTGGCTTGAATACTAATCCGTCTTGTGATATTGCTGGCAGTCTTATCTTAAAAAGATGAAGGATTGTGGTATACCCAACTTATATCTTTAGATACCAATAAGAAATGAGGTCCTATAGACAATGTTAGATTGGATATAATAACTAGTCTACACACCCGATAAACGATAACGAAAAACAAAATGGGAGGCTTGTCTCAGATCTTTTCAGTTTTTAATTTGAGTCATCAACCTGCAGGATACACCGGCTTCGAATTCCGAACCTCGCTTATCACGATCCCCAGAGTTTGGGGGGGGGGAAGGGGGCGTATATTCACCGCAGCCTTTGGTCCTGCCTTATTGCGGTAATGCAAAGCTAGGCTCCTATATAGCGGAACATGCAGCTATTGCTGCAACTTTCTTTGCCTTCTCCCCCAAGAGATAGACGGGCCAATAACTTAAGTGTGGCGAGTCCTACATAAGATGTTGCGGGGGGTTGAAGACGCGTTCTCAAATAGAAAACACCGGCTGAATTTGAGGCGGGTTATAGAATTTAAAACCAGCAATATCCATAGATGCAGTCCGCCCTTTTACCATATTTGTTCATCATAGACAAGCCTCGCCACAAAAATAAAATAAAATAAATAAGGACTTAAAGCGAAGAACAGCAGTAAGTAGAAATATTTGAAAAGCAACATACCGGTAACGATTAATACCTTTGCGGTATAGGATCCAATACGGCTGCAAGGCTTCCTCGTCATGGTCCGAAAGGGAATTTAGCTGGCAAGCTTAAATAAACACCAAAACGGATTAGGATCGCGCCGATCGGGATTTTACACTGCGTAAAATGGATGTGAATGGCGTTTCTGACGTTACGGAAATATTCTTCATCACATCGCATCAACAGTCTCAATAAGTCGGTGTGCAAATGTCAATTCGGGAAAAAGAATATACAAACGGGAAAATAGTTTGGCACATAAAAGATGAATTTCCTAGGAACAAGTACGGCGGACTATTATGACATTAGTGCCAAAATCAAGAAAATAGGTCAGGGCTGTCCAAAAAGGGTAATATATCGAGTGCACAGTATACTATGCGGGGTATATACAAAATTGAATACAGAATTCTTATATTTATAGTAACGTTTCGAATATTACTAGCATAAATTAACATAAATATTAATATTTTATTTAAAGTATAATAAAAATTATTAAAATAGTCTCATAATATTGCTGATTTATTTCGTAAAGATAATGTGTAGTATAAAAGGAGGTGTACAGGTGGTCATAAAGGGTATCACGTGCCGTATAAGACTTACTGGATATTGATATAACACGCTATACGACACGCCAGCCAAAGGATATATACATGCAACCTATATCATTATTTTCGCATTAATCAAGGCTATAAAATGATACTAATTATATTTTTTGAAATGGTATATTGGTAAAGTTATTCAAATAACTAGTTATGTGTAAATGTTGTTTTTAAATTCGTGTATTTTGAGGCTAAGATAAAGGCTATATCTGATTGGCTATTTAACTTTTGGCCGGCTTTATAGCCTTTTTAATAACACTACCAATCTTGGGTCAAATTACATGCAATTTGGATTGTAATTTTATTCTTCTTTTAGTCAAAATATCAGTGTTTTTTAGAAAAGATTTGGATAGATACTCGTAAAGTTATTATGGTATAAGGTTAAAAGGGGTGTTAATTGTGTATACAGCGCATATTAATTGAGCTTACACTGTATTTTTGCCTTACTATTACCTTATTAGACCTAGTGCTATTGATTTTCTTGATTTTGGCACTAATGTCATAATGGTCCACCGTAACAAGTTCAATGCTGGCTGTATGTATGTAAATGATGAGAATTAGCGTCGACGGTCTACTGTCCATAAAGTGGCCCGTGCGATAGGTTTAAGATGTGGAGTCGCTTGTCGGACTATTGTTTTAACGGAGTTTATAATTTGAGGCGATAGGGAATAATCTCGAGAGCCGTACCTTCTTTTACGAACTTGGATTATTACGATTGTTATCTTAGGTAATGTATAAACCTAGGTACATAAATGCTATATTCATTTAGTCGTAAGATAGAATGGACTTGCCCTTTCTATCTCAAATCGAGGGAGAATCTTCTTTGACTTAGGGAAATAAGAAATGACCAGCCGAGATTAATATAACCACTTCAGGTGCACTTGCATTATCCACTATGTCACACACGAATATTCGACAATTACCTAAAGTATCTCTTACATAAATTACAAGTCGCACCTTGTTTCATTCTTTTCTATCCACACATTTAGTTGATGTTCGGTCAATATTCACCCAAGTATACCGATCAGAAGACCGCCTCCACTAGGACCAATCACCAATCATAGAAGATCCCTTATTAGCAACGTTTCAATAATCTTCATACGGATTCCCAACCGCATAATTGACACGTCGCGTGCTATCTATCCATCATCGCGGTAAGCGCTATTTAAAATTTATATGCAAAGATTGCCTAAGGAATGATTAGTTCTACTATGCTGTCATGTGTGCCTAAGAAAACATACCTATTATTAGCAATATTATTAGTTACGTTTATAGCGCGCGCTTAAAATACGCGACTTACAACGTTGACATTCCATATCATATTTCATAACGTAGTCATATACGAGGGTGATAATTCCCCCACGCCTTACGATTATGTATTAAAGTTGATAATATCGCAAAACTACCTTACCAAAGTATTTCAATAATTACATGATAACAATAGTCTTATAGAACAAGCTTATTTATCCTGTAGTTATCTCTTTTCGTTAACTATACTTATAAATGTCAGCGCAATATCTGTATAATATCACGTTACACACAGCAACTTGATTTACTATACTACCAAACTAATTTAACGAGCCTTCTTTATTTTATCATGTCTGGTAAAAACAACTACTTAAAGCAGCAACCTTAACATTCGATTTAAAACCACACCTAAAGTACTTCTACGTCGCATCCGAGTCCATTTATATTAAAAAAAAATTTTTTACCAAAAGTTTTTGTTATAGCACCGCAACTACAATGCTGTTGTACCTCAAAATTCCGGGTAGTAGTGGTTTTCAGACAAATAGCGGACTTAAAGAGAATATAAAAAATACAAGTCATATTACTATTTCCATATCCTACACGTTTGTATAAACCCTTACATCCAAGCCTACACAGTAATTAAGGATAAGAATAGGATACACAATTGGACAAGAGCCCTAACGGAATGAGTCTACATCGTGAAACTGCGATTGCATCCGCAGAATGTAGGGCTATTACCATTGTTCTTCGCGACAGTATGAGTGGCTAGATTCCAGCCAACTAAAAGCAAGCACATCCATCGACCGGATCTGATTGGCTAAACATGATTATCGGAAGCATATATCCTAAGCGTACGTGTGGCCAGGTCAGTTGTTTACGAATACAGTCTCGATAGATCATATTATGAAATACACCTACGGCTGAACGGCTTCGCTGATTTTGCAAGTCAGGTCACCTAGGATAAATGCATCCAGCGGCCGATGTCACGTAGCAGCTCATGAAGTGGCCCAATAATACAAATCCGATCGTAGTTGAACAAGTCGCCAAGCTTTCACCGATCAATCTTGACGCTGCAGCCGACGCCTCTTACCATAACGTGATGTCAAACACTTCGAGGGATAACTATACAAGTTTCCATGAAAATTGCTAGGTACCTAGCAATGGAGAATTTGCCTACGCGACCTGATATGTAGGCCTGTTCACGTTCTTTATATGAATAAGACCCATAATATGTATATAGTCGAGAAAATGCAACTGGAAGCTTTGGGTAATAGCACCCACTGAAGCCTCATATCCTACAGCAACTAATTCAAACCTGAGTGTTTATAATCAAATTTATATTCACAACTCGCAATATCTGCAGAATATATACAATGAACATAACTACCTATATAACTTGGGTTAAACGACCAAAGCCCAATCAAAATAAGTTCCCTCAGAAGCTAACTCTAGGACGCAAAGACCCTTCACAAGTAACCACGGTTCTAATTCTTCAACTCATACAACTGACTAACAGCCCCGAGCCCATCCTTCGAATACAGCGCCAAGAAATGCGTAGCATCGCGATTAAACACGCCCGGCCAATGCGACGCCGCCTCGCCGGTAACCACGCTGCCGGACCACGTCTTACCTCCGTCCACGCTAGTAATAACCTTCATCTGCGCGCCGTCGTACCCGCTCGTGCCCTCCACGTCCTCGTTCGTCATGAAGCTGGCCACCAGCGTGCCCCACACGTTGTACACCTGCGGCGCCCCCGCCAGCTTCCCGTTGCGCGCCGTGTACAGCCTGCCGCGCGAGCCCCACGATCGCCCGTCGTCGTGCGAGAGCACGTAGTTGACTGAGAAGACTCCGCTTTCGGTGTTTTCAAAGACAGCACTATGGCGCGTTAGTATTCCATGTGATAATCAGAAGCCGGCCCCTGAGCAATGCTGGAGAGTGCGTGAAGAGATACTGACATGAGATTTCCGTTATTGTCAATAGGCGCAACACCAACCATACCATCGCGAGAATTCTTATCACCGCCCGAGACGGCAATCCAATGAGACCACGTCGCGCCGCCGTCCGTGGAGTACTTCATAAAATTGTCCTGGTCGCCCCCGCTGTTCTCAGCAGAGTAATAGCACTGCAGCGACCCATCCCTAGCGATCCGCAAGAACGGCTCCCAAAGACCATTGACGCCCGACGGGACGTGTTCCTCGACGGTAGAGAGATACTTGAAGGTCTTGCCGCCGTCGTCCGAGTACGAGATCGAGATGCGGAAGTACGTGTAGTGCCAGTCAGCGCCCATACGGTCGTGGTTCCGGTACGCGTACAGGATGCGGCCGTTGGGTAGCTGAAGCGGCATGGCGTTGTTGATGTCGTGGGTTGCGATTTCGCCTCTGAATACTTCGCCGAGATGCTCCCACGACTGGCCGCCGTTGGTCGACTTCACGACGCGCAAGACATTTTGAGTGCCGTCCTTGGCGGCGTACCCGCCGAGCAGGCTGCCGTCGTTCATAAAGCTGACTCGGACGTACTCAGAGTTGGTGTCGATCACTACCGGCTCACCGGCTTTCACGACGCGGCCCGGCAGGCGCTTGGCGAGGGAGGCCGGGGCGGCTGATGCTACCTCGACGATGGCAAGTGCCGCGAAGAGGATCTTAGAGACGAACATGATGCACAGTGCTGATATGCTTGTAATTGATGTAGATCGTGATCGTGGTCGTCACACAGCCTATGTAGATCATCATATGGGCGTCTAATAGTTATAATATAGACACAGTGACACATTGTCGCAATGCCCGTGCTAGTACTACCATTAGAAATACCATCGCATCCTCGGTTCCTCTTGTTCGTCGCCTTAACGAAATCATTATCATAGGATTAACTAGCCAGGTGAATATACATAGTAGTATGCAAGGTCCAATTGTCAAGTGCAACTGTCCAGATTTGGTAACATAGTGTTTTTGTATAGCTTAATATGAGTATAGTGGATTACTTATAGATGCTCAGAGACTCAAAGGGGCGCCGCCGACTAGGGTTAAAGTTGAATTTGGGCTATTTTAGCAGACCGATTATAATCCTTATTCGAGAAGGTGGTTTCGCCAAGTTGGTATGTGCCAGCCATTGGACTTGAGGCGGTTCCGAGAGCCGTGATGTTCCAGGGCTGGATCGTACGCTATGATTAATATTTATAAGTTTACCTTGGAACCCGTACCCTGGGTGCATAAACTGAAGCTTCAATTACAAGGGGGAAAAAGTTAAAGTCCAAGGCTTCCTTGATATTCGTTTGCAGCACTTTGAGGAGTGCGCGATTAGGCAGGTAATGGAACGTTTCAATCAATTAAAGACAGGTGCTGTACTTTTTGGGCACTGGGAACGTGTTTCACTCGCTCCTACCGAACGGCGATGTGACATCAAATTCGGTCTTATTGAAATCGGGAATATTTAATAGACTGAAGGAGAACCAGCATTATGCTAGAGCTGTCAAGATTATCGTATTTACCGAGACCACGATGACTATTCTTGAGTTCTGTGGTAGAATTATGAATACGAGCGAAGTAATACTGACGGTCTATGTAGAGCTACGTCTGCTGTAAGTGGCCTAAGAGGATCTTGTCGCTTAACGTATTCTATTTTCAAGATATACCAGAACAGAGAAACTAGAATGCAAAATCAGAAACATGAAAAAAAAGAAATAGAAAAAAGAACATTCGCAAATATTATATAATCGAAGCAAGTCTATTTGCAACAAGGTTGTCATCAAATATAAGCATAAAAGTAATAATTGACAGACAGAAAAGACAAAAATAACCTCGAGCTAGTAAGAAACACTTAAAATCACGTGCCTCAATCCAGATTTTCCCTCCCGTGGTCAATATTTAACCCGACCCGCTCTTCTCCCCCCATTTACCCACTCCCACAACCCATCGGCCAACTCCGATCGTACCACCCATCCTTTACATCGTACCACGCACCAGGCCAGAATGCCATAAGCGTGCACAAAACGACCTGATTTTTCAGCCTCTCATCTCCGGTCCCTTTTCGCCGGCTACTAAGATATCCTTAGATATCGCCCTTCTAGCTGAATAACGCGCAGCCGCGTGGCGTGACATGATGACTGCTCTCTGCCTCTCACCAGATCCCTAAGGCGCAAACTGTCCCCCCCGGACCCATTCGTACTATACAGGAAGTCGACGGTAAGCTTTCTGGGGATAGGTGCCGCATGCCGTCATGGACCAGCCCGAACCACCTGTCAGTACCGCGGCGCTGGATTCCTGGCTAAGCCCTGAACGGGTTCTGGGTCATACGTTCGCCAGTATCTACGAAGATTCTGGCTCGGGCTCTAGGGCTATGGAGTGTTGGGAGTGTGATTATTATTATTGTCATTCGCCGTAGTGGCCGGTCGTTGGATGTAATATAAGAGCAGCCCGCGAAGTCTGGGAATTTTGGAAATAATGTGTATTATCATCATCATCATCAGCAACATAGACATCTTCACTCATCAATCATAAAACATTTCCAAAAAAGACATCTCCTCTCCAAAGTCTCAATTAGAGCAAATATAGACATCTCACCTCTCGAGAAGTTCATCTCAACTCAGAAAAAAAAACCAGTCCACTTCGAAACCTTGTCTTATTAGACACTTAACTATAACGACAACCATCCACACTTATTAAAACTATCTTAAGTTTCAACCCCATAAAATCAAAATGTCAGCCATCGCCATGAATGCCGCCCGATCTCCCCTTTCGGCTCTTGCCCGACAAGCTTCCAAGAGCTTCCGGCAATCAGCCAGGATCGTGGAGGGCCCTACCGAAGCACTCCCCTCAGCCGTTCGATCCCAGCGCGCTGACTGGGGCCGCATCGCACGAGCTCGTGCCGGTGTTGCTGTAATGTAAGTTTCATCCCGTCTTCCAACCCCTATATATACCTCCCTAAGATACGATGAAGAACACGAAGCTGACTGTCATTCTTAGATACTTCCCTGCTCTGGGTAGCTTCCTCTCTTGGCCTTTCATCAGCAAGGCCGTCCTCGACGGCCACATGGGACAGTTATAATTCGCTTCGAACATGTGTTACCTTTACATATATACCGGGTTATATAATACCTACCATTCACTACTTCGACGACTATACACCTGTACATAGAGTCCTCGCATTTACGACATCCGGAAGGCGTTTTTGGTCTGCCAGAGAGAAACAGAATAACTGGCTGTATTCTATATGATAATCAGAGGCGTTCTGGCTTACTACCTAATCAATTTGAAGAAGGGTAAATAGGGGGGCATTGAGAAGGAAAGCGGAAAAATCGTCTGGAGTCGTGCTGCATTCTTGGAAGTCGTACAACGTTGTCGACCATCTTCAACCTCTTCTATATGTCTATCTATATATATACCTATTTATGATATAACAGTACCGTTGACCGCATGAGCGGCGACAGAAATATTAGTTCCTTTATCAGTTCCACTTCCGTATTCTAAATACCCGTGCTTTCCTTCAGGTAAGTGCAGCTTTCTTGCCTCGCTAGTATCGTGTAAGCCCGTACGTCTTAGGACATTGACTGTATGCTCGTAGTTATCCTCGGCGTATTTCTCAGCATCGAACCCCAGTATCCAGGCCTCACGTCTGAGCCTCATGCTTTCAGGGTTCTTCTTAGCGGCGTCGAAGTCCGCCTTGGTGCCAGATGTCGCGTGTCTGTTCTCCTGTCTTCTGGGCAGATTTAACGCGCTCGTATCGGATCGCTTCAAATGCCGCGACTGCTTCTTGAACCTTTTCGGGGCTGCCGCATTCGCGCAGGCATACGGCAATCGTGACTCCGTCCTCCATCGCCTGCGACGCCCCCTGAATAGACGTTGGCAAAAACGGATGGGCCGAGTCACCAATTAGCGCAATACGTCTGCCTTTCGAGATCCACGTTGGTAGGGGGTCACGGTAGACAAGCTTCCAGTCGATTAGGGGCGATGGTGTTTTGTCTAAGATCTTTTGTATGACAGGATCCCAGCCCTCGAGAACTTTGCGTGCATCTTCCAGTGGCGCCTCCAGTTGCCAACTCTCTTCGATATCTGCCTCGTCCTTGTGCGTGCATACCCACGAGAAATCCTTCCCCCCCTTCATACAGGCTGCGATGAAGTGCACATCTGGGCCGAGCCAAGCAACGTGCCGGTCACCACCTTCGGTAAAGAATTTGGTATCAGGATCCTTTGCGATCTCGTCTGCGCTGAACCAACTGCGGTATACAGCGTAGCCGGAAGGCTTGGGCTGATCCTCAAATCCGAGAACGATCTTGCGGCCCTTGCTACGTACACCCTCGGCCGCGATTACAACATCAGCCGTAATTCGCTCGCCATTTTCAAGGACTACACCTGCTTCTTTATCGTCTTCGAAATAGTCCTCAACACGGGCATTAAGCCGAATCTTGACGCCAATTTCTTTGGCATGGTTGTAAACGACCTCGTGGAACTCGCCGCGGTGGCCATCATAACGGATGCCAAACTCTGCGTCTTCACCTTCCCAGTATTGGGTAAATAGTGTTTCACCTTTCCAGGATTTCAGAGTGATCGCGTCAGCTCTCATACTAAGGGGCTCCAATTGCTCGGCGACACCTGGCCATCGACGGAATAATCGCGATGAGTTGGGCCCAAACGAAATAATGTCGCCTAGGAGCTTAAGCTCTGGGAATTTCTCCAGCACTAATACATCATGTCCCTTGCGGTGGCATTCTATCGCGGCTGTTAATCCTGCGAAACCTGTGCCCACCACGATCACCTTGATGCCTGTCTGCGCAGGTTTCTGTGACTCGGCCATTTTGTTAAATATTTGCGTTTTACTGATAAATCGTTTCAATCGACCCTCTATCTTTATCAACCATCGAGATTGGAGGAGTAGGTGTTTATCATGAATCTGTCTTTGAGTTGACCTCGGGTATGATCAACTGGTTGGATTAGTCTAACCTAACTGTATAGGCCTCACGTTCTCACATGACATCTAAACTGGCCGGGCGGCACATACTTCTACTTGTGCATTACTGGATCTCCATGGTGGAGGTACGAACTTACCTATCTAGTTCTTCAACCTAACTATATTAGAATCAATATTCCCCGCATCAGGATCTAGAAGGAGTATCGGCAGTTGCGCCGTGACGGTAAGTCTCTGGACTGTAGTACGAGATGATGGTTAAATGTCGAGTTGATTATCCCGAGCAGGTTCCATATAACCCTTGATAGCAGCAGCCAATGAAAGGCTCAATAGGATAGGACACTTGGGTTCTGCGTCGTTAACCCCCTTGTTCAACTTCGAGTGGGGAAGCTCGCGGAGCCGTCTGATACCCCGTAGAATGCTTATTTCCCCAAGTTTAGAGACGCGGAGTTTCTGTTAATCAGGTTTAGTATGTGCGGAGATTCCGTGGATCTGTGCTTGTTTCGTCGGCAATGGTAACGGGGAGCAGCGCGATGCTACGCTATACTGCATATGCGTCTTGCCGTCATTTGAACCCTTGCCTGCACACCCATGGCCACCGCGAGGAGTAGTCAGTGCTTATAAACATGGATCTCCAACTGTTACATATGTATTTCAGACATGGTTGTCCTCTGAACGCGTGCCAATAACGTCAGTTGATTTTGCAGAGCAACAGACAAACGACGACTGGATCATTCGCGTCAAAGCAAGTTGGCACAATGCCTTGGGGAATCCTCGAGAGCAAGTATGAGGGAAATGTCCCTGGAACAGGTATGGAAATCTCTTAAAATCAAAAAAGCGGTAAAGCGGTAAAGCGGATGCTAATCCAAGTTCCAGTAATACTCACGGATCAGTCCGATATACCAGACGAATACCGAAACGTCTCTCGAGAGCTGCTCAAACATGGTACCGGCAAGTATTCCAATATTATATTAACTCCTCAGCCAAGCGACTCTCCCAACGACCCTCTTAATGTGAGTTCACTACGGCAGAGAAGCTTGGGAATTAAGAACTCACAAGAATATAGTGGCCGACATGGCGCAAGGATGTTGTTCTTGTTATCGTAGGCCTCTCCGCCGGAGTTGTGGGCGCGTATGGACCGATGATTTCACCGGGTTTTTGTTGAAATTGCCGCAGCGCTCAATGTAACGGTCAACACGCTTTCTCAAGCAACAGCTTGGGTAGTTCTGACGATTGGGCTCTCACTCTTCGTCTTCAACCCGCTGGCAAAAAAAGTTGGGCGGCGTCCGGTATATGTGATATCGAGCATCATTATGCTCTCCGGAAGCATCTGGGGAGCCCTTGCGAAGGATTACAGTAGCTTCCTGGGTAGCAGAGTATGGAGCGGCTTAGGAATGGCACCTTACGAGATCCTCGTACAGTGCACGATCGCCGACATCTACTATGTCCACCAACGGGCTACTAGAATCGCCGTCTGGAATATGTTCTTGTTATGTGGTATCAGCGGAGGTGCTCTTATTGCCGGTTATATTATCGAGGTAAGTCACATTCGGGACTCTGCTGTGCTAGACTCGCTAACATCTTCGTAGGACCAAGGCTGGCAGTGGACTTTGATCTGGTGTGCCATAATCTTTGGCATGCTTCTCCCTTTCGTGATACTCTTTGTCCCCGAAACCGCATATAGACGGCAGTCGTTTGAGCAACAGCTAGCAGTTAAAGGCGCCAACAGTCAAGATGCTAAGCCAGAGATTCCAGAGAAGAAAGATGCCTCGTCCGGACCAGAGGATAGTGCTAAGGTTGAAACGATAGAGACTGGTGTGGTGACTGAACGCAAAGATTCGTATCTACGAAGCCTAAAACTTTGGAGTGGTACTATTTATACCACCACGCCCCTTTGGAAGATCTTTTTGCGTCCGGTCGTCGTCTTCTTCTATCCAGCCGTACTTTGGGCATTCTTGCTTTACGGGGTCACCTTGACTTGGATTGTGGTATTCAGCGTCGTAAACGCAGTCATCTTCACGGCTCCACCGTACAATTTCTCGGTATCAGAAACAGGGCTGATCTCGCTATCCCCCTTTATTCTCACCTTCGTTGGTGAGGTCTTATCAGGCCCATTGACCGATTGGGTTTGTATGTATCTGGCTAAGAAGAATCGTGGTATCTACGAACCCGAGTTCCGATTACCACCGATTATTATCTCATTCTTTGTTGGTATCGTCGGCTTCTTTGGATTTGGCGCTACTGTCCATTATCAAACTCATTGGTCCGGGCCGGTTCTATGTTTTGGTTTAGCAAACATGAGTCTTGCCCTATCTAACTCATCTGTTTTTGGTTATGTGATCGACGCTCATAAGGAGTTAAGCGAAGAAGGTATACATGCTCTTATTTATTATCTGTGGCAATCTCGAGTACATGCTAATCATTATTTATTTGTAGCATTCGTGGCTATCAATGCTCGAAATATTCTGACTTTTGGTTTGACTTATTTCGTCAACGACTGGCTAGCAAAAAATGGAGTTCTCGCAGTCTTCAACGTACTCGGTGCCGTATTTGTTGGCGTAAACGTATTGACTATTCCTCTATGGATTTTCGGCAAGCGAATTAGGGAGTATATCGCTAGGAACGAAGCGCTGCACCGGTTCATGCACGAAGATTAGATGGCAATACTATTACCGGTAATAGTATTGAGATAAGATTTGATATTTATTTGAATGGTAACTTCAAATTTATAGAACTAGATATACAAGATTTATGAGATATTTTATTAAGTTGTAAAGAATAAGAATTGACTTCTATAATAGATAGAATATTAGTAAAAGTCTTGTCGTAATTCACATTGTACTTCGTACCTGTTAGCGTAGTGGCATAGTGGGCAATTCGAGATAAGGTAGTGGTCAGTGCACTAAGCGAATCAAGCTTGGGCCACGTGTAAATACGTACTCTATTCGACAACGAACCCCCTGCAGGAGCTCCTGAACCATCCAAAGAAAGGGAAAGGGCACCTGGGCAAAAGGCGCGTCGTGAATTTGAAGCTTCGCCGAAAAATTGTCCCCAAGCCGATCGCCAACGCTGCACGACCTTTCCCACTTGACGACCACAACACGAAATGCTTCTTGGATTTACGAGGTGACGACCGAACCTTTTTTTCTACATCCACTTGCTATTTTATAGTTAATAATAATACTCTTGAACCTCCGAATTCGCTTCAAACTGCTACAAACCCTTGTGGCCAATAAACAGGAGAACACCAACTTTGTTTGACTGTAATTTGCGAAAATTACAATTTGGTGGTGAAGGGTGAAAACTCGCAATTTTCAGATTCGAAAGCGAAGGATTAGACGGTTAAGGGTCAAGTACAAAGTGTAAAGGGGAGACGGAAGTGGATACATACGAAGAGCTGCTTAAACGCCCAAACGCCCAGACGCCCACAATGACAGACTCCCTCCACAACGCGCCCATTGTACTGGATAATGGTTCTGGTACAATTCGAGCGGGTTTTGCGGGAGACGATCTACCAAAATGTTACTTCCCTTCCTTTGTAGGTCGACCGAAGCACTTGCGAGTACTTGCTGGTGCTTTGGAAGGCGAGGTATTCATTGGTCAAAAGGCGGCGACGGAGCTGAGAGGGCTCCTAAAGATAAGATACCCTTTAGAACATGGCATAGTCACAGATTGGGACGATATGGAGAGATATGGGAGTATGTCTATAGTGAAGGACTCAAGACTATCAGCGAAGAGGTATGTATGATCCTAGGACTCCTATTCCAGTATGACATCTCTAATATTAATATTTCCACCAGCATCCCGTCCTCTTAACCGAACCACCACTTAACCCGCGAGCAAATCGGGATACGGCAGCTCAAATACTTTTCGAGACCTTTAACGTTCCTGCCCTATACACATCTATCCAAGCTGTTCTCTCCCTCTATGCTAGCGGACGTACCACGGGTTGCGTGTTAGATTCGGGTGACGGTGTCTCGCATGCGGTTCCTGTATACGAGGGGTTTGCGATCCCTTCCTCTATGCGCCGCATCGACGTTGCTGGCCGTGACGTCACCGAGTACATGCAGACGCTACTGCGCAAGAGTGGCTACGTCTTCCATACGAGTGCCGAAAAGGAAGTCGTGCGGTTAATTAAGGAAGCTGTTTCATACGTGGCTATAAACCCTAAGCAAGAGGAGAAGGACTGGCAGAGCGCGAAGTTAGACCAGGGGAAAACGGCGGAGTACGTGCTACCTGACGGTAACCGACTGCGCGTGGGCCAGGAGCGTTTCCGTGCGCCCGAGATCTTGTTCGACCCTGAACTCATCGGGTTAGAGTATCCGGGTATTCAGCAGATCGTAACAGATGCCATCAACAGGACAGATCTGGACCTACGTAAGGCGCTTTATGCCAATATCGTATTGTCTGGCGGTAGTACCCTGACCAAAGGGTTCGGTGACCGCCTGCTGAGCGAAGTCAAGAAGCTAGCTGTCAAGGACATGCGGATCAAGATCTTCGCACCGCCTGAGCGCAAGTACTCGACCTGGATCGGAGGTAGCATTCTTGCGGGCTTAAGCACGTTCAGAAAGGTACGTCTGCTATTTCACTACTCCTTAATTAAATATGTACTAATAGGATGATAGATGTGGTTAGCATTGACGACTGGCACGAGGATCCTGATATCATCCACAAGAAACTGACATAATCTCCCTACCTATCTCATTTTTCGGAACCCCAAAAATAGAACGGGAAGATTTCACAAATCGCGACAATTCGGACCAGGGAAAGGAGGCCAACTAGTTACGGATTGACGATCTCCCGGTCCGAGTGTAGTAGATCGAGGAGATTTCATGGTAAGGTAGCATAGCGTAAGCGCAGCGAGAGACTCATTCCACTCTAAGCAACAGTCCAGAGATGTAGTAGATAGTGTATGGCTGCAAAGGACCCTCTAGCAAGTTGAGGCTCTCGCAATGTCTGAAGGGGGAGAGAAGAGAGGATGGGACGGAGAAGAGAAGCCGACAAGCTTGCGTGTCAGATTATTGGCGGAATACTTAAGTCATCTATGTAGATGAATGATACCCAGGCGTTTGAAGATCCCATATAAGATGATATATGCGTTACGTGATAGTGATGATGCATCTACCTTAGGTATGGTGGTGTTTGAGTTCGACTAGGTTAGATAGGTCAGACTGTAAGTCTGTGACCTGAGGTGTTGCTGAGGTTACAGGGGAAAACTAGGAGGCTAAAGACTAATAGTATGAGGATGGTAACACTAGTAAGGTAACACTACGCGATGTAAACTCGAATCAAGAACGGATCATGGAGGTATGATTCATATTTTTTTATTCTTCGTAGCTATGAACTACGTATAACTATTTTATTCGGCGCAATGCTATATGCCTTCTTTAAACGCAAAGACCTTTTCAACTGAAAAGTCGCTGTAGGGGGGTATATATCGCTCGTAAATATTCACCAGAAACAAATGGTTGTTGTGAGGATTCCTTCGTCCCGGAGTCTGCCAGCCGGAAGGGAGAAAGATAGATAGTGTCATGGGTGTTAGTATGTTCCCTATTATCCTTCTTTCTCCCGTAAACCAAATCTTCGAGCTTCCCTGTTTGCTCTGAGGCCCCAAACTTTTTTTCCCCTCCTTATCCTCCTTTTCCTGTCCTTTCTCTAGGGCACATGCCTGCCTGCTCATACCCGTAGTTGATTGAGTATGATGATGCCCGAAACTCCGATGCGCCTTGCTTTCCCATGATGATGATGGTGATGAAGTAGAGAGATGATGGTGTGTAGTATGCAATGTGTTGAAAAATACGTCGTGGTGAATTAATAGTTGTGGTTCATTTAGCGGGAGCTGTTGCGACTCTTAGCGTCGGTGGCTTATGCGGCTCCATATGTTGGACAAGCTACCTGAGCTGCTTGAGCTGTGCTGGCTGGAAGCATCGCTGCTCTTGCGGGAGGCGCCAGAGCCGCTAGCACCGTAGACATTTCCGGCGCCGCCCCGGCCAACGTAGCCGATGGGCTTCTCCTCGATGTGGCTTTTGTGGGTGAATTCCTCGTCGAACGATAGAACAGGTTTCGCGGCTGCGACGTGCGCGTTGCCTGCTCCTCCTCGTCCGGAGTAGAAGCGCGATGTGGTGTGTTGCACTGATGTCGGCTTTGTCGCTACACCGGATGAGGGTGTGGTGCTAGGAGCCCGGAAGTAGTTGCCAGCGCCACCTCGTCCCGAGTGAGTGTATGAGTTCTGCGGGACGGTTGGGTGAGGCTCGGTGATAGTGAGATCAGGCATCTTGGAATGGTCTTGGATAACAGCGGGTTTAGTGTATCTCTGAAATTTATAAGTTTAGGTTGATATTGTTTCTACTGGGAAGCTTATATGATGAATGGTGGCAGCAAAATAGTATAACAGATCCCAAGATAGGTCAGTGGGATGGAGGGAACGGGCTAATATACATAATTTTATCGTGAGGACCAGGGGAGCAACCCCTTTGTCATAAATTACACCGTAGTTCTCGAGAAAGTTCCAGGTTTGCCGCACGTGGCACCAGGGCGAGAGTTTAGGGACAAAGCCGATCACGATACGTAACTACGTACTCAGTCCTAGAGTAGAATAGAATCCCATTAAGGAAAATTTTTTCATGGCCCCAAGGAGAGATGGCATAAGGCACGCGGCGCACGCAAGACTTCGTGTGAAGCGCTAGGCGAGGTTGCCGGCGTAGCTCGTCGCGTGGAGATGACAACATGGTCCAGCCGAATTTTTGCTTCACAGGGCTGGTAGACTCAGAAAAATAGGACCAGACAGGTAGATTCCGGTGCCACTTAGACAGGAAAAACCATCGTCTTGGCGGGTCCAAATCGTAAGGGAAACATGTATGGTAACATGTATAAGTGGAATCTGGGGTAACCGCGTGATGGATCCCATTAGCAAGGAATTAGCTAACAAGAGCCTTTCAGACTGGCAAAAGTTGTTGTAGTTACGAAATCGGGTCTTAGGTAAAGGCATCATGAGACCTGCAGAGGAGTTTTTTGTACCTAACTATTACCCCATAGTTTGCTCCCTCGCCGCTAGACAGGGATTCTTGCAGGATGGGCAAGAATGGGCAAGAATGGGCTCTCGGTGGTGCAATTGGTGGTGTAATTGATCTCGTTTCTGTTTTTGGGCGAGCTGGAATCTTTGTTAACTACTTGTCTGGTATTCATAGGTAGGAACAAAGGCCCGGCAAACGTCATGTTGTACATATATTTGTTTATGTACCTAATGGAGAGATATATGTAGGATGGATCAGCCAATCCTTAGTCTTCTCCCGTCTAAGTCCATGTAAGTCCACTGCAGGTACGGGCGTTGATCGAAAAGAGCCGCTACAATTCGTGAACCAATAGATCTAAAGCCTGACCACTTTGATTGGTTGACAACAGGCTGAGATCAATTAAGGACCGAATCTCGCCATATGCTTATATTCTAATAGGCGATTTGCCATGTCGAGCATGTCCAAGCCATGCTGGCTGGCTGGCTGGCTGGCTTCAGCACCTACCAGCCACTTCGCTGTAATTGCTGCGCTGTCGACAGCATTACATTGTACCAGCTGAAGCGAACTGCTGCGACGGTATGTGCATCTCCGAGGGATGATACCACATCAAAAACTCGGTCTCATCGGAATCACGATGTGATCCATTATTCGGCTAGTTAATAAAAATAAAAAATTGTTCGTGTGCCGCTTCATCCTCAAACCTGCGTAAGAGTCCAGGACAGCATCCACAAAATGTGGAGTTGGTAACAAGCAAGGAAAAAAAAAAAAAGAGGTTTCGCACTTTTCAGATTTCGGCTTGGCCGAATTTAGATCGTACTTGTCGATCTGCCGTTACTCTTCTCGACCCTCTAGCGCAACATTTTGAGGACCACGATGGGCAGGATAGGCGACGGGACAGGCTATGTTACTTACTTTAGACCAGCTGACCACTAAGCGGTAAGTGAAAAGAGAACACGTCGTGACCAGAAAATTTTAGGAAATATTTTTTATTTCTTCGGCCATCCATTTCAACCAGCGGCAAACTAAAACCAAGTATTTATTTACTCCGTCCGTGCATATTCTCAATATAACGATGCCGAGACAAGCGAACGTTTATTAGAGGTATAGTTCTATGAACTACCATCCATCGTGACATACTCATACCTCACGTAGCATATGCAACGAATATTAGGGCCGCATCTAAGGTTAGGTTGCAGTGGACATCCGCGATTTTCCGAGTTGAAAATATCGAAGAGCTGACTCCTATAATGACCTGAAGTCAATGTAGACGCAATGGAAACGACCTCACTCTAGATATTCCATTACCCCTGACGAGTAGCATACCTTCGAATAACTGCCGTTGCGCCTTCGCTTACTACTTTCGCACCATAGCTACCTGACATCTTATTATGGCGTCAACCAATTCAATTGCATTTATACAACCATTAAGACGGCCATGTCATCCCTCTTTCCACTTTTGTGCCGTCGATCAAACTAGAAATCCCCATTTCTTTAGTCACGATTTGATGAGATGTTACGGCTCTTGGTGGAGTAACCACACTTTACCCCAGACATAACCGTGGTGTTGTCTCTTGTTGCCTGCTTCCCCGGAACCATCAATCATATCGACGAGTAGGTTTGTTTTCAGTTAAAGCGAGTCATTTCAAGAAAAAGTATCGTAATATTATATATTATACAGATGTTTCATTGGTGAATCTCTAAAAGAGCAGACTCCTATCGTAGAATAATGAAATTTCCAAGATTTTGATAACATAGCATAATACTTGTAAATAAATTCAATATCAACGTAAGAGTGAATCAGGTAACACGTTCCGCTTCCATCTCCATACATTAGATACGCTCGAAGTTAATAGTGAAGAGCTGCATCTCGTGGGTTTGCCAACTTGAAGACTTTTGGCCTGAACCTCGTAAGAACATGGCGAAAATCCGGGTAATCTATTTTGGTAAGATGTAGTTGTCCAGTTTCGTTTCTATCGTAATGATGGGTTTCCACATCTGACTATCAGAGGCAGCAATTCGTTGTTCTATGTCTGCTGCCACGTATATCCACTTGTAGTTCCTGCATTTTTGGTAATTCTACTCTATAGCGCGAAAAACTCGGGTATATCCGAGCGCCTGTTTTTCTTACATTATTTTTACAACAATCCAACTTGGCTGGGACTTCATCATCGCGAATGGAGAAGTGCATCCGAAGTGTTCCTTGGAATAACGAAAAGCTTCCTCCTTAATGCATTCGGGCACAATCATGTGGGCTAATAGAGGCTCCCAGAATTCGGCTATTCGTCGACAGTCTTGAGGTCCGATGAGACATACTCGATTAGATACTTCGATGTGTAACACACGCAATGGCGGAATGAGGGATTCAATACCTTCTATCTCGGAGATGATGGCGTTGAAGGCAGTTTTTCCAATTAGGCATTCTACAAAGGTCCGTGTTTCAAGGCCATTCTCATCCCATTTAATTTCTTGTGCGTTGTGGAATTGTAAGAGCGGCCCATTCTCGTACTTGATAAATTTCGGCATATTGTCTTGTCGAAGGAAGTCGAGATAGTCACTCGGAAAAGAAGTTTCGCCAAGTGCCCGAATTGAAGATATAATCTCTGCGTCTGAGGAGCCATGGTGCAGTTTACGCTCGTTCTGGGATCCTTTCCCTATATTGTGTGTACCAAATTTAATTCCGATATAGCTCAGCAATTTCGCCAGTCCGTTAATGATAGTTGTCTTCCATTTGCTGGGGGGTAGCTGAATAGTCGAAAATTCTTGCCGAGGAGCTTGTCGAGTGACGGGAGTTTTCGGGGAGTTTCTCCAATAGATCCCTATGGCAACGATAAGGAGAATGGTAATAACCAAGATAGTTCCTTCTATTAACATGCTGCTTACATTGGCCTAGGGGCATATGGTTATAATCAAGTCTCAAGGTAAAACGATAGAGTTGCATGAAGTTTAAATATTTAATAATATACACGATCATTCTCTAAAATTAGGACCCCGTGTCTTTATTTAAGGTCTTCATACTATCAAGGAACATAGGCCTAGAAACCCACCTAATATCCCAGTTCCTCCTGCTGATATACGAAGTTATCACAATCTCTAGTAACTCCGAACTTTTTCCATTTTATCACCTCCCAGTCACAAAACTAGTTTACGGACCGCTGGAATCTTCGGGCATGGACTTACATGGTCTTAGGTATAATATCTCTTTCCAAGATACTAGAGAATATTCTTTATGTGAGGTATTGTAATCAAAGAGATTTGGGGTTTATATCACAATGTGGTTCTAGAAAGGTAGGGATAGGGCTTCATTATTATACGAGGAATTTTGACTATACATACGTAAACCCGTGAATAAAATTACCAAAATCATCCTCTGTTCTAAATGTCTCGTCTAGAATCATATCTTTTCATGTAAAGATTTTACTTAAACATAGTGCATCATTACATCTTATAAATGACGCTTGAAAACACATTGGAACCTCGTCTGTCAGGATTCTAGATGAGACATCTAGAACAAAGAAGAGGTTTAGTATGTATGGACCTAGAACTCGTAGATAGTTACCTAGAGTTCCTTGCGGAACGATGAAGTTGTTTCCATGCTGTTTGGTTCCACCTCGTGACATCATCACCACGTTTAAAGGTAGACAGTACAGATGCTTCTATGCCGTATGAAAGTAGTAGTGCAGTGAAATACGGTACAGAATTGAATATAATGAAAATAGCCAAGGTAATTAGGGTAATCTAGTTTGGAATTTTGCTAAGATCTAGAGATACCCGTTCTTAAATTTTATAACGACTTATAAAACAAAGTGAATCAATATCTTGCCCTATAGTAATATAAACATAACTACTTAGACCTCTCCCCCTCTTAATGTTATAACTAAAATAAAAAATAAATAAAAAATGATAAAAAGAATTCTTAGAAATGAAATAAAAGGCTCGTAGGGGGCGAAAGATCAATGGGCAGTTTCGTAAGAAGTCTGCTTACTATAGAAGCTTCCGTGGTATATATGCCGTGTTTAATAATCAATTCTTCAACAACCAATGGGAGTTTGGCCGAGTGGTTAAGGCGTCGTGTTTAGGTCTTCCCAAAGAATACCATATAACCCGCGATGGGAAACCGCGCAGGTTCGAATCCTGCAGCTCTCAAAAGACTATTTTTTTGCCTGCCCACTTGGCGCGATATGTATTAGAGCGCCTGGTGGATATTTTTTTTTTTTTTTGTCTGGAAATTAAATGAATCTGATTTGTGTCTAATTTTTAGCGTTGGCGGTAGGTATGCAAAAATCTTGGCGTCTTTATTTTATTTGATGAACGTGGGCTCCGTGGATGGAAAAAGAAATTCCCACATTCAATACTACTAATAAGACTAGTTCTATGCACGGCTGGAACTGGTAGTTGGAAAGAAAATTGGAGTATACTCGAATGAAATTCTACGTTCAAGTTCTAACTGCATAGAATTAATTTGTTGTATCAGTATTTTCGTCCAAACGTAGCTCAAGCTGTAGATGTATGGAAACAATTCGAACTTATCTACGGAATATCCGGAAAGCAGATGGTCTAAGGATTTGTGCTCTGTCGATCACTTATTTCTCGTCATTTTGCATCTTGAACTATCCTTGGAAAATAGCCTCTCCGTATGGTCTCGCAGTCTCTGTAAATGTCAGAACTAAAAGCAACGCGGTAATGATATTAACTAAATAAACTGACTAAACCACCTATAAAGTGTTGTTTTTTTATAGACGAAAGCGACGTTATAGTCTACTGTAGACTTCAGTATGTCAGTAGCAGACCGCTACACCATTCGAGAAATCTCAAAAGGTATGATGGACGAGATCTACGCACGTACAAACGAGTATCGGTGTGCCAGTACGCGCCGACCTGGGCGTCTAATTTTTCCCGATCTCCGTAGTTCACTAAGTCGCACGCACCCCATTTCCGCGCAAACGCCTCCTTTTCCGCGGGAAACTTGTTTTCTTGTTTGTATTCGTAGACGATCATGTCTCTGACCCGTCTCGGGCATAGTCCGCCGAATCGAAAGCAGCCATCGGGGAGAGGTAGGTGGCTGTACTCGTTAGTAATATGAAGAAAGATCTGGAATTTTAATGATGTGACTTACGCGCACCCCGGTATTGGTATTCCCTTGCCGTTCTCTGGGACCTCAAACCAGAGCCTATCCTCAAACTTTCCTCTGCGAGGAACCTCCCCGGTGATAATCGCGACTGGTCGAGCAAACTCTTGGATTATTCTCATCGTAGGACATTGGGGCGGCCCAGCCATATCGAAAACCAAAGTTTCGTCATCGATATATGTAAATTGCTCGTGTATACCGTATCCTGGTTCGAGAACGGTAAAGTTAATAAGAGGTGACGGTAATGTCTTGAGAGCTTTCTTGTGCTCGTCTCCATATTCAGGATCTGCAGTAAAGAGTGGAATATCCTCATTGCCCGTCTTCTTCCTTAATTGCTTCACTAGCGAAATGGCGGCTATATGTTGAGCAATATTTCGCGGCATGATGATGTTACATGGTCTCTTTGTACTCTGCGTGCTCTCTGTACTCTCTGTACTCTGTGTATTGGTAGGGCTTTGCTCCGGAGATTGTTGATTGGAGCAAAACTTTGGCATAAGGATACGACCCAGTCCTAAACAAACTACCCTTTTAATTTTCTCTGGATTGGGTATGCTATCTATAGCCTGTTTGAACTCATGAGCCCTGGTGTTTTTATCACACTTCCACCTTTCCCAAGCATCGATAAGAGTATCCTGTATCTCTTCTGCCTTTACAGTATCGAGGCTGTCAATGAATTTCCGGGTGCCCTTTTCATATGGTTTATGATACTTGGAAATGAAACTATTTCATGTTAGTAATCTTTGCATGATATTATTTCTTGATTGACCTTAAGGTTGGTGGAAAATATTGGACGTACGTTTTTGCGAGATTTTCATCAATCTTAGTATTTGGTTTCATCTGCTTAGGGGGGCAATTTGCCTGGACATTTTGATAGCAGTGAAGAATAAACTCATGGGGGTCTTGAAAGTCCTTCCCTCTGATATCTGAGGCGCAGAACATGTACCAGTTACATCTCTCGATGATTTTTTTGTTTCTTTCTTTAGTACCCAGCTGAAGATCTTGAATTTCCTTTAATTTGAGGAAATTAGCCTCAAGGCCAGGATACTGATCGGGATCCATTATGATAGTAGAATCCATTATGTTATTAAAGGTGTGGGTTTAAAAAGCGATACGTGTCCACGAGAAAGTATCGTCAGATTTATTGTTTTAGGCCCTTCCAACTTTATATATAATGCGCCGCAGAATTACTTAAGTAGAGAAACTTAAATTCTAAAGTAAAACGTCTATCAGGTAGTCACTAGCAGTTTGATGTCTAACAATTACACAGCGAGTGATTGCATATGACATTGAAATAATTGTCAGCTCTAGTAAATGAGATAAGTTCGGATTCACATAACTATATTTTGATTGAGACTCAGCTATGTAGAACAGTGGTAGTGGCGAGGAAATGCGATGACTGTGGTTGTAATACCAAGTGATTCAGTTGGAGTATTTTATATTCGCAGCCTTGCGTGAAGAACCTTCTAGTATACCTCCTTAGCCATCCACTGCATATGACCTGCAGGGTATAGTTCCACTATCATCTTGTCAGCTCACTATCCACTCCTGGATTCATGCCTGATGCAGTCTTTCAGCTATATATATTCGCCGCCATAGATATGTGACTAACAGAGCCTGCTTGATATATCTCATCCTCTTCAATGATGACACAGAATCATAGGCATGACGGTCTCAGACGTGACAGGATGTTATTTATAAAAAATATATTTGAAGTAAAGCTGAAATAAAATAGGACAATACGTGGTTCAAATCTAATCATGCTATAGTCTGTAGTGAGTTAAGAGGCTGAACTCTACCTCTAGAATGACGAGCTCGTATTTAACCTTAAATGAGATGAATGGTTTGATGCAGTCTATTCTCAGGCTTGCGACGTGGACTAAGCATAGGTAGTGTAAGTATATTGATATAGTACAGGGGTATTATTGGGCTAATTACGATTCCGCATTTATCATATCGACTAGCGCTGGCTCTCGTTAATATACTAGATGTGCTATATCTATATATCTATCTAGGGATTGGCCTAGTGTTAGTTAATATACACAAACAGCTCAGCTCAAGATGGATAAGGTAGGTAAGGTATGATAAACCTATAAGGTGAATTGCCAATCTGTACGTCTATAACCTAGTACCCTAATTTTTCCTTCTAGAAAACAACCCTCTTTTTTTTCAGTCCCCAGACATACAAAGATCTGCGTTGTTTAAGACATTTTTACTCGATAAACTTCAATGCAAACCAAGCAAACCAAGACCAGCAAACCCACCCCAAACCCACCGAACTGAAACTCGAATCAGCCCACAGAAAACGCTGTGATACGATTCACAGACTATCCGATGACGGAGAAGTGGCTTATTTGGCAACTCCGATACACGCGAAATATTTCTTAAAAGCTTGAACTTCAACACTAAAAACACCATCTCGATCGAGAAGAGCTGCCGGTGGCCAGAATTCAGGTTCGACGCGATCAAGAAGGCCCGGGTACGATGTTAGGCCTCTTGGCTCCGTAACGCCCCACGGGTTCCTGATGATAATGTATTGCTGTGGTTAGGGTTAGCTTCTTATACTAGAGAAGAACGTTACTGGCTCGGAAATGCCCCGGAAACAATAGCTCTCTGATCGGCTCGCCCAGAAAGGCATACCGCCAAAGCCACAGTGCTCGAGATGATAAGCTGGCTGGGAAAAGGGGATATATAAAGGCACGCACGTTATCCTCTTGGCCTTCGCTGACCCAGCCCAAGACCGAGTACGCATGATTAGCAACCAGGTTGCTGCCGCGAAACACTAATAATATCGGGAATTAGCCACCTGCCTATCTCTCTTCTCTCTCTCTCTCTCCAACGAAAACAAATCAAAAGCGCTTATCTCTCGGGCGGAAAAACCGCCACCGCCTCATTGACCGAGAATTTTCGACACGGACCCGATACACGAAGGGAAAACAGGAAATCCCAAGACGTTACATACTGTCTCCTGTGGCGTGCGTCCACGCAGCCATTGGACTAATGTACGCTTGTTCACGCTGCAAGAGCGCACAAGGCCCACGAGCTCAGACCCGAGTGGCGGTCGGTGAAGTAATAACGTGGCTCGCGGCCGTTAATTTGGGCCACTATTATTGATGAAATATCATGTTAGCGGCTGCTTTTTCGATTGAACGTTCTAAAGGGGGTTAGGCTGGGTCTTGGGGGGGGAGGGGGTAAATTCTCCGACTTTCGGTGTGAGTTGAGAAAAAGGGGGAGGGGAAAAAAAGGAAGGGAAATATTCAATATATGGATTGATGGATTGATGGATGACTTAGGTACGCACTGGCCTTGATTGGGTCGCCGCGTGAGCCTGCGTCATGTCAACGCGTCCGCGGGTCCTCGGAACGCGTCATCCATTTGACGAAGGCCTTCTCGTATAGCGCGGGCCAAGTCTCGTAGCCGTCGCTAGAGCGCGCATAGATGTGATGTCGGTCGAGTTATTGACGGGGATCTGGTAGTCGACCTCGACAGTGTCCGTGTCAGCTTGTTGCGGCCGCCCTTATCGTGGAAGCGGACGCTCAGGGTGCGGCGGCCGCGGTCCAGGGTCCAGTCATGGTCATCCGTGTGGATCGGTTGATCATGGCGGGGTTCGCCCAGAACACGGAGAAGATGGCTGCGATTAGCCAGCTGTTGCTCGAGGCTCCCTGGGTCGGGTCGTCGAAGCGTGTGGTATTGCTCCCGGAATTGGTGGGAGCTGCCGTGCATGGCGAAGGGTGGGCCGTCCATCATGAAGCGACGCGGCATGCTCCGGAAGATGATATCGTTCATGTCGCGCCAGGAGCTGTTAGGGGGAGACCACGATGGTCTTCCTTTCCGTGGCTGAAGGGAAGCACAAGCTCGTTGATGGTCTCGGTAACATCGCGGTTACCGACAGTCTTGCCGGAGAGACTGGCCATCGAGGACGAGACGCGAGCTAGCTGATCATTCTGCCATGCGGGCCATTTTGATGCGACATCACCAACCTCTTTGAGGCCAATCTTCTCGAGATCATCAAGCTTCTTAACGCGAGACAAGTCGGGAGTGACAAGGTCGCGCTCCTCGAGGATCTGCATCTCCTTCTCGGAGATTTCCTCGGCTTGGCGGTTCTCCTCGTTGAGCTTAAGGCCAGCAAAGAGCACGGAGTTGTGCTTCAGGTCGAAGAGCTCTTCGTAGTCGGTCTGCAGGACATCCGCGAGGATGCGTGCAGTAGAAAGAGCATGGCGGTCCAATCGATGGCCGATCATAGCCTCAACCAGGGCATACGGGTTGATGGCGCCGATGAACACATCCTTAGGAGGCTCATCGGGAGAAGGCTCCTGGCCAAGGAGAGGATGGTCATCCCTCTCGTTGCCGAGAACCTCGTAGTCCTCGGACATAGTCCTAGAAGGGATAGAGCGCCTGTCGATCTTGTGGCCCGTAAGAGCCTCAAACAGAGCAAAAGCATCAATATTGCTGGGAGCTCCACGAGGAGATTCAGAAGGAGATCCAGAGGTAACCATTTTGAATTTAGTTGGTAAGTTATTGGTATTATACAGATGTATGAATAGTAAACGGTAAGCTGATGAATTATTGAACGAGTCGCTGTTGCTTGGTGAGAATGGAATAGTCTTGAGGAGGTTGATTGGTATATGTATGTTTTCACTGATATTCAAGACACATGTTTCTTTCAGTTCGTGGATGATATCTTCAAGCTTTCGTGTCTTCACTTACCTTGTATCGACGAGGCCGAATACGGCGCATGATGCAACGGCTGAGTATAAACATGAGGCTCTCCACGTAGACCCCCGGACCCCGCAAATTACTTAGACTCCATTGCTTAGTGAAAATAGGTTATATTACGTATCTTCAAAAGTGTGCATTTAAAAGGTTAAAGATCGTAGCAATAGAGCGCTGTTGGCATGACCTGATATGGACATAGTTTTTTCACTGTGACTCCTGTAGGTTTTTGCTTATTCTTGCCTCTGTCCTGGGCGGCCAAGGCTATCCGGGTGAGCCATGTCGTGGGTGATATTACTGGAGTAAGAGACCTTTAGACGGATGAATATACACGTGCTCTCTAGCAAGGACACTCAAGAGCTCCAAGTATGCTCAACACTGTTATGGTTAAGTGAGTGCGTGTACTTATCCAGGTAACTAAGGGACTCGATACTCAAAACCGAGAATGAGCGACGGACTCCTAAAATTAACTATATTCATAGTACTCCTAAAGGACTTAGTGGTATGCCATCTTAAAGCTTAATCCACTGTCGGGTTCGCGGGGGACGGACAGGGAAATAAGCTTCAGACTATGTAGCATGGTTAAATCGCCTTGAAGTAGTAGATATTGGTCTTGGTAGAATATAGTTCTAATGGAGTTCAGCTCCATGTTGAGAAGAGTTCTAGGCTGGTCCTGAGCTGAGATGAGCTTAGACTACGTGGAAAGGCTCACCCCCTTTCTAGGTTTACGACACACATAGTAGATAATTCTATACGAGCTTGTGTAGGAGCTTTGGTACTTTTAACTAATGAAAATTTCTACCTATTGTATTACTTACTCCGTGAAAATCACTATGGTACTATACAGGATAATAAGCCCATACTAGAAGCTATAGACGTATTATAATGCTCCTCGGTAATAAAGTGCCTTCTTAATAGGCAAATCCTAATGGCAAATACGTAGTTTAACACCACCCAAGCTCCAAAAACACGGGACAAGTCGTCCAATCTGAAACTCAATTCGCTACCAAAACCTACCTAACCTACCCAGGTATATAATACGAGATGAAGAGCTAGTTTCACCATCTAGGTCTTCCCGTGCGTTTAGCTTACCGGGTACCTGAACCTTGAGTTGCTCGACGGCCTTCTGATTATCCCGTTGTAAACCGAGGTTTTAAGATCTATGTCCCGTGTGACAAAGACCTGGCAAGTAAGGCTACCTACCTAAATTACTACTGAGCTTGGTCTCGGTACCTACCTCATCAAGCTACACAGTATTTTGGAATTTATCGAGGTGAAAAAGGGGTAAACCAATACCGGGAAATCCCTATCCGCTCTAGAAAGCAATGAATATGACTTAGTAATTGCTCCTCATAGAAAATGACCTTATTTAGCAAATATAATTTCATCACCGTTAGTTTAGGTAGATATTTGCTTTCGTTACAGACAATGAGATCTAGAATCACTTCGAACGCTCTAAAGCCCTCATCACTTCATAATTCACGAAATAATAGCGCTTTTGACAGTATATCCGTCGGCCCGGTTAACATCAACACAAAAAAACACAAAACAACACGAACAAGTCACCGAAGAAAAAAAAACTCATTTGAAAATCATAACACCTTCAATAACAGCTAAATCGCTGGTAATGATTATGTCCCTATGCCTATGCCAGACCGGTGAGCTAAGCCACAACACTCACGTCTGCTCCGACTATAACAGCGTCAATACGGGCTGCATGTACATCATAAGGCACCCTGACCACCAACAAGTAAGAAGTAGATAGGACCACCTGTTCCGAAAAGCTAGTTAAGAGGTAGGTACCCAAGAAGCAGTTCCTCCGTTCGTTGGTTCGTTCCATCCACTATGCAGAAAAGGTTTCGGTCGACAGTAGTTAACGTATCCGTAATGTGTAATTGGTTCGGATAAAGAAATAGAAAAAAAAAAATAGGGGAGGGATATCAGGATGACAAAGAAAAAACATGAATTGATAGTAACAGTGATATGATGTGTAAGTGCTAGAACGCCGTGATGTAGTAAGTAACCGTAAAGCAAAGAACCCTTGGCCGACAAATCTATGAACCTATGCCATGCCCCCTAAGACGAAAGGAAGAAAAACAAAAATATTCATCGTAGTCTCATTGCGAGGTGGGTGGTATGTGCAAATGCGTCCATCCTCGATGCCTATTGCATGACTGTTTACTCCGTCATATGCTGGATGCTAGTGAAACATCATTTTGCTCATTAATCTTCGTGCCCCTTTAGGCCTGTCCAAATCCACCTCCTCCATCTTCTTTTTTGTCTTGCATCCTCCCTGGTGGTGGCAGTCTCTACCAACGTCCGACAGGAACAGGCGCGCTATAATTGCCAGCCATCAACTGGTCCAGAATGGAGCTTTGGTTGGCAGGTGTATTTGAGGCAGTGTTGCCTGAATTTCCACCGACCCATCCGACATTCGCGGCCATAGAGGAGATGGCAGCACCTAACCTGCCACCCGATTGAAGATTGTGCTTAGCAAGCTTTTGGTCCCAACCACCCGAATGTAAGAGGAAGCCGGCCCCTTTCTTAGAGGCCTCATTGATAACCAAAGCCCAGGCTTGTGATATTTCGTAGTAGACGTTCTCTTTATGATGTCTGTGGCTTTGGCTTTCCCAGTCAGGCAAGCTGTGTACTACCTTCGTGGCGCCATGTAGATATTGTAGCGAGAGGTTGGCACTTGTCTCGTTAGGCGGAAGAAATTGGTGTGTGAAGTCAGCAAGGGCATCGATCAGTGCCATCAGTTGATGTTTGACCCGGTAGTATGTGTAATCGGAACTCGAATCGCCGTAAGGGAACGCATCTCGTAGTTTGTCCTGATATTCTTTCAATACTCGTAGCGCGCAGTCGACGGAGGGCTTCGGAGCGCTTTTGACGACCTCTTCTCCAATTTCCGGTTGTCGCTCGCAGATTGTCTGTAGCACAGTTCGCAGTTGCGTGATGTCGAGGGTCTCGAGGAGTCGAGGGAGCGATAGAGGCCGCCCCGCTACTTCATTTGCCCGGACTTTCTTCGATGGTCTAGCCGCGAGCTGTCGTGATTGAGCAGCAGGGGAGTTGAGGGGTGAGACCGACATCTCATCGCCATCGTCGTCGGCCTTTCGCTTTCGGTTACTAGCCATAGTGTTATGAAAAGGAGAAACTATTAAACAGAATTGTTAGTATATATATTGCTGCCTGTTTGGATTTCCTTAGATGCAGAGTAGTCGAGTCCGCAGCTCGGGATCGCACACAGCAAAGGGGTATCAAGACAACGCCCCACATGACTTGGAACAAGAAAGCAGAGGAATTAAATATATTCACATACTTGAGCGAGTAGGTGACCGTCTATTGGTCTCGTGTTGATGAGGGAAGAAAGACGGCGGTTGCGGCTGCGGCGATAACAAAATGTTCATTATGCTAGCAGGTATATTCCGTCCGAATACGTCGTGCTACTCGGTATCCTATTCCCTTCTCGATGACTGTGTTTGGTCGAGCTATAGCGATGTCGACACCACGCTGGACTGATCGACGGATCGACGGTATGCTTATCTGACGTACGGCGGAGTGGCGTCGACGATGGGAACAAACCGGAGGTGCAGGATGGGGAAGAGGTTGAGTGAGGGAAGGAGGAGAACCAGAGATAAATAAAAAGTAGAGGGGAGAAAGTAAGAAGGGTGGATATGTAGAGTGTGGATCGAAAAAGAATGTCGTTACTTGTGGCTACTTTTATTCCGTCTGGTCCTTAAGCCAGATAAATAAAAGAGGGAGCCTAATATTGGTTGCGCATTGACGGGAGGGGTGTAGGGTGTAGCGCAGCTGTTTAAGAAAAAAAAAGTAATAACAAACACCTAAAGGTAACTTAATAACTCGACTAATCCCTTTGATTGAATAGGATTTGGAGGTTATGGAGGTTATGGAGGTTTGTGTGTGTGCGTGTGGATGATGTGGATTGGATGTTCTAAGGAAAGATACGCAAAAAGATGGCATTAATGATCCAGAAAACTGCCTTCCGCTGGCTCGGGTCAAGGAAAAAAAAGTCAGGCCCCAAAATCCCCAATATATCTAGCAATGTTGTTGGTTCTCTCGACTCCAGCTGGTGGAGACAAGGTCCCCTGTAGCTGTACTACCACTGTAGTGATACCCTAAGTGGACTAGCGGTACTATATCTCACTACGAGCTACTAGGTACATATGTACATATGTACTTACCTACGCACTTACTCTTTTGTCATCAATGGCCCGCACTAGTGCCTCATGCCTATTTCAATGCAACTTCCCTTTACCATATTATGTACATGTATATGTACATGTACCTTACATCCTTACATGCCACCTTATCTCATATTTAACATAGGAGGTATATTAAGTAAATAAACATAAGCATACTTTATGAATCTCTCCTCTAGCATCTTCATATAACATACACCTTTAACTCAAAATAACTATACCTAATATACCTAGGTAGTTACCAGCTGAAGTACTTATCTACCTACCTGTATATCAGATACTCATAAAAGAGGCTTATGCATAAGCAAAAAAACGCATAGCATCAACCAGAACCCCTCGTTAAACTCACGCATTGTGGGGAACATATCTCCTAAGGAAACAAGTCACAAGCTACCAACACAGCAACGGTTCAAGGGTCATCCCGTCCCTCGTCTTGATTGGTCATTGATCAGAATCTAAGATCCTAAGAAAAGCCACCGTCAGAAACACGTGACCGCCTCTTTCTTACTGTACACACATCATCAATTGCCTTGTAAAGCTCTTACACTGAGTGAACAAAAGTACACATTTTAGCTTAAGTAGTTGTTGAACTTTTCTGAGCTTTGACCTGAGCTAAACATAGGATAAATGCAACAATACTTAGGTAGGTACCTGGACCTACCTAATATATTAAGCTATATACCTACTGCACAGGTATATTACCATCATAGCCAAATAACCGAGGCTACAGCTCCGATCCGTCTAGCCACATAACCTTACATATATGCGCTCCCTTAAGCCTTAGCGATCGAATCCGTGTGGCTAATAGATAGTACTGAATCAAGGAGTACATATTATGTGTTCCCACGAGAAGTCAACCGATCATGGCACACAAAAACAACATCAGGTTTACACGACTCATTACATTCACTATTAACCTAGCATTATCCACACCTATATACAACAGTCTCCACCATGCCATCTCATCGTCACGGCTAACCCGAGGTTTCGGCCAAGAATCTAATTTTGCTTGTGTCTAGCAGTGACTTAAGCATGCAAGAGCTTGCTTATTAGGAGTTTCTCCGAGATGCATTGTTGCCCACGTCGAATTCTGCCGTCAAACTCGGGTTTCTTTACCCACCCAACAGTTGTTCTCCTAAAACCTAGTTTGCTGGCCTATTGTTTTATGAGAGTCGGATCCTATGATCCCATCATAGAAGAGTACAAATAGGAGAGATAATTCCCTATAGTCCAAGATCTATAAAGACCTCGGAACATCTCGGCGAGCTTAGGTATTACATTATTTTTGCGAAGGTCTTTGATAACGCCACGCGGCATAATGCCGTACATTAGGTGAGGTAACGCAAAAGAGGTTCAGCACCCTTTCAGACCAGGCGGAAATCGAAGGCGACGTCCGAGATTTCTTATTAAGACGCCAGGAAAATGAAAATGAAACAAATGGCTAGAGCGTGAATATGGTCCGTAGGCTCAACTTCATAAGCACGTGGAGATTTGTGCTTGAAATTCGTAACCCAGAGTATAAGGTATGTTAAAAAAGAACTCTGGGGAAAACGACTGATTGATTGCATCAAAGGTATTGTATATCATCTAACTCGAGCGTCGCAAGTCGCCCCGTGATGCCCGAAAGAGAACTTAAGTCGCCCGTTGCGGTTCGTCCGTGACTCGGTGCTGGGGAGTTGCGACGGCTCTCCGTGTCGGCATTGCTTGTAGATGTATTGCGCGACTGATTCGCCCAACGAGAGGAACCAATGCCATGAACCGTCGGCGTACGGTCTGGAGAAGCATCCGCCTCCTGCATTGGGTTGGTACGTGGCACGAGGACTGCACCAGGCCGTATGGTAGACGCCGATGAGTTACTCATTGCGTACGTCGAGATGTTGACCTCTGGTTGGTCCGAATTTACGGCATCTCTTAATAGAGCTAAGAATTTATTGGTTTTTTCTACCGTCTCCTCTTCAGATCGTTCTCCTATTTCAATAAGTTTCTCTTCCGGTGCAGGCCATTGCTTTTCATGCACAGATCGCGCATCTTCCAGATGCTTTTCCATTGGCAATAATGAAGCCTTTGAGACGAAGGCATTGTTGCTTGTGGATGGCTGCTGCGGACCCAGGCGTCCAGTCACTCTGAGGAAATATTCGTTAAAACGGCGAACTCTAGGGGGGCAGGGGTGCGCATATTGTCGCAGCATGATCATCTCGTCGACCGAACGAATAATCGGAGCGTTTCCATGTAGGATATTCGCATACACGACTGCAATTGCCTTTCTCTGTTCGTCTTGATCCAGGCCACTGAATCCCTCATATCGCTTCAGTTGCATCGTCGTGACCTGCATTGCTGCTTGTTTAGCGGACGTTACTGATGACGAATCCCGAGCCCACATGAGATATTCCAGAAGGTTTCGGCTTATTCTGATCATATGTTCGTAGTCTCTAGCCATTAGGGAGGAAAGTACGCGAAGGGAATCTTGAGACAGATCTACTCCGGCTGTGATCGCTTCAATTGTCGCGATATCCTGCTCGAGTTGCGGGGTGGAAAGAACCGTAGCTGTACTGAAGCTAATGCTATACTGTGTCGTAACTGATGGCGAAATAGTTTGAGATTGGGCGATAGTAGGGAATGCACTTTTGATGGGCGCTGCGATTACAGATTCTCTTTGGAGACTAACTGACTCGGCATCGCCTATAGAATTGGCTATTGCCTTTTCATGAGAACCCAGGTCTATAAGGTCTATAGGAGACTTCGGTCTCTTAAGGGATTCGGGAGAATGAAGATCAATCAAATCTTCATTCGTGGTCTCCGTGCTCGGGATAGGCTGAGAGGGTGTAGACTTAAGGGGTGTAGAAGTCACAGTGTCGACTCTGCTGCGGTCAGTTTTAGATACTTGATTCTCCGGAGCTTGTTCATCTGTCTTTTCCGAGTCCTTGCTGTCCGTACCACTTTCTAGCTGGGGGACGAGCTCGGTTTCACTCATTTCTATGAGGATTGGTATGCGAGAATTCTCCTGTTGCTTCCGATAAGACTTTACCACTTCTTCGAACTTCTGCGCGGCTGAAATACTGCTGAATCGTATCTGACTCGATCGCACTTCGGAAGCCTCATTATCTTGTCGTCGAAGATGAACGCTACTTCCGTATTGGAACGGTTGCAAACAGAGACGAATATCGCCTCTCATCGCTCTGCCAGTGTTAATGTGTAGATTCCAGATAACGACGCCGCTCGGTCTTTCATGGAGAGAAACTTGGCCAGGGCTAAATGCATCTAGTCCAACGACAAGCATGATAGTAACATCTTCATCTCGGAAAATAACTCGACCTAGTTTAAGCGTCGTGGTTTTGATCAAATTTCCAGTGACTTGAGTTTCATTGTTTTGATCAGGCGTGTTATGGGCGGGTCCGGCTGGTCCAGCTGGTCGTCTCTGGTGCGGGAGCAGGGTACTCTCCTGCTCGTGGGGCATGAGAGTAGGTTGTAACTGCAGCGGAGCGCCATGTCCTAATCTGCCTAGAGTAGGAGGTTGTTGTGGTCTCGCCTGGACCGGTGTATCGCGTCCGGTGCCAGGTATATTAGGTATAGGGGTGAAGTGAACTGGGTTGCCAGCTTGTTCCGCTCGCTTAGGGTCCCATCGTCTCACCTCAACCCCAGGTGGCACAATACCACCAAGCGAAGTTTCTCTATGTCCCGGCGGAAGAGGTTGGGATGGCTGTCTTGGCTTCTTAGAATAACCGGGATTCCTGGTACTGAATTAGCATAGATTCCATATCAATTCTAGGAAATGAACAGTTACGTACAGTGGATCATACATCGGAGTATTTCCCTTGGATGCAAAGGTTAGAGGCCGGCTGTTATATCCAGCAGGATTCCCGCTACCCCCAATTCCCGGTTTCGTTGCAACTCGGTTTAGGCGATGAGCATTCCCGTCATCAAGTGAGTCAAGATCTTTGACCGCATGATAATCGGAGTCGTTGAACAGACCCTCCTTAAACGCATCTGTCGCAATTGATTAGCTACGTATCAAGCGATGGCTATGATGAATATATATAGTATGTAAATAACTCACTCTTCCAGCCTGCAGCAGGGTCATTCGCTGAAGGGCGTTCCTCGCGTTGCGTCGAGAATAGACGACGGTTTACTTGGAAGGTCTGATGGCCTCGACGCCGATCTTCGTCGGTATCTCTAGCAAATTCCTCAAGACGACTATTTCCGAGATCCTCCTATTATCAAATAGAGTTAGTATATCGTCCTTTTGAGTCTTGAGTAGATTAATTAGGGAAGACTTGCCATCATAGTGTCCATGATGCGCTGTTCTGCCTCGCGCTGGTCCGCCTCGCGCTGGGACAGATCCGCCGATGAACCAACCATCGTGAGTGATCAGTAAGAAAAGGAGGTCAACACAAAGTATGGTTGATTTTTGAATTGCCTCGTCCAATGCAATATCAAAAAGAAACAAGGCGTAAACAATTACTCGGCGACCTTAGTCCTTAACTACAACGTTGTATGAATGTAGGTAGGAATCTAAGAGATCGAGACTTGTCTCAAGCCCGAACCAAAAATGGAGTCTTGATAGTTGATAGTGTTGGTTAATAAGTTTTGAGACAGGAGTGTTGTGTAGGAGGTATGTTAGGTACCTAAGGTACCTAGGCAATGTTCCTTGTAGGATGCTCCGATGGTAGTGAAGAATGAAGAAGGTAGGTAAATAGATAGGCCAAGTAAGAAAGTGGGAAGGATTAAATACCTAGCAGGTGTACGTAAAAGAATAAAGGTAGGAAGAAAAGTAAGAAGGAAGGAAGAACTGTATTCTTAAGGAATTCCAGTAAGGTGTGACCTGAAAGGAAGTCACTTCCTTATTACCACCTGAAGTAAACCGGGTCTCCGGTGAAAATTCGTTCAGGTAAACTTCACGTACATCACTGCGGATACTTGAAGTGGTAGTGGATCCGGTACCTCTTATGAGGTTGATGTCTGTGCTATTCCGGGACGTTCCAAAGGGAATACTGATGCACGAACCCTAGGACTGGTCAGATTAGCCACATACAGTTTGTTTTTATTTTAACGCGACGGAGCATGTCAATGTATATGTCAGGGGTAGTTTTGTAGTCATCGCCGAGGGCTCAAGGGGAGTATCGGAACGAGCGTACATATACCTAGGTAGGTACGGTTGCTACCTACCTAAGTAACAAACAAAATGGGAAATGTGCCTGAGTACGTACCTTTTCCCTTCTTGACATGCACTTGAAGTCAAGTTACTTAAGGTACCTCTTAGTAACGAAGATATAAGAGATATCTGAACGTGCGGAAGAAATCATGCGTTCCGTTTGCACGTTCATGCGGTATGTGGTAGAAAAGGGGAACTAGGAAACGAAGATGGGAAAGAAAGGTTCGGTGCTGAGCAACAAAACCAAATATAATTACAATGCCGCCTAATATCATGCACGATAAGATTTAATGTTATCTAGCATATCCTGTGTGTTTTAAGCGAGTAGCCTACCGATATGTTGATAGTATGTCGACGCTGTGCTTCTAGGGCATTCTTTCATGCACCTCCAGCAATCATCCTCTGAAACTAGAAAGGTAACCTGCCGAAGGTATATGATAGTAGTAGTAACAGCTTTAATTGGGTTGTAATTGTATTCATTATACCCTATTGTTAAGGATGTAATACTTGATATTTTCCTTAGTGCTTTAGTTATAGTTATCATGCAAATATTTAAAATGATGCTCAATACTAAAGGCAATACGAAATATTCATATATTGGACGGCTACTACTGAGAAATATATATAGGTATAGATACCTATGCGCCTAGAATATGTAAGATATAATGGACTAGATTAGCTGAGTAGATATATATGTGTTTGAAAGCAGTAATGTTACCATTTAAATCGAAACCAGAGATCTATAACCAGTGAACTCGACTTAGCTATTGGTGATTATAGATACTTTCAATGATATCCTGAATATTTAGAGTCTACTTGTTATATAGGTATAAGTGCCTGTCTGGGTATACATTTTCGAGGTTGACAGCCAAAGACCATCGTTACTAAAGAACATCAAGCTCATCCTCACATACACCAAGCTTCACAGTTCATAAAAATGAATTATGATTGCATTAGACTCATTGCCAAAGTAAATTAATATGATCTTTATATGGTTCTTTATAAGTATTTGCTGTCAGAGTATAAATGGGTAAGGAGGCCTATAGGGGTCTATCTACTATATAAGGGCGCGTAGCTCCCTCGAAAGAGAGTAGAAGCCAGGCGTTACTAGTTCAATATACCTTACCTTTTGGTCTACCTTCTTAGATATTCACTCTGTGTATGACATCAATCACCTGGGTATAACCCCCTCTGACAATTGCGAGCTGTAGACCAAGAAGTTCCGTAGCTACTAAGCCAGAGCAATGAGCTCTAGGGGATAGGATATTAACCGGACCCCTTTCATGTACTCGAACCTTCGTAGAGTTTCTCGATAAGCATGCTTATAACACAGAGAATGAGTACAGAAAAGGTGGTATAATTCAGTATGTGTAGCTGTGATACTGTGATAAATGGTGGGCCAAGGCCCCATTAAGCGAGAAAAGGGGCGGAAAATAGGGAACTACCTATTTACATAAAATCATCTGAATTTAGATTAATCAGCCTACTCTAGATCACTACCAATACGATTGCACCTCGCTCAAACAAGCTTTGTCCCAACCAAAAAACACCAAATCATGACGCAGGACATCATAAGAAACCCCCTTATACCATGCTCGATTCCCCCTTTTTTTGATGATTCCAAAGTTTCGTAATCCTTCTTCTCATACCCGCATTCTCCTGATCTGATCCCGACTTCTTCTCTCCGACTGATCTAGTCGTATTGTCCACTTTACTTGACTTGTGCTTGGGGTGCTTCCAATCATGCCACCTTTGTTTTGTTGGAATGGTTTTCTCGCATCACGGAGAAATTCTTGATAACGTCGAAATACCAGAGGCACAGCATTACGAACAAAATGGTGACAACCAACGATACAACCTCTGCCACAACTTCGAGATGTTAGTTTGTTAAGAAGCTTAGGGGACAGAAGCTAGGGCTCAATACTTACCAAACCATGTCACAACGTACCTAGTGGTGTACGCGGGGGTCGGATCCCTTCCATTGCCTCCGTCGGATTGGTATTGATTTTTCAAGAGACCCTCGAGAGGTAGAGCGAACAGGCTTGTCATGAAGGCTAGCGGCGCGAATATGATCGTGATAACTGTGAATCCAATAACAGCCGCGCTGAGAATCAATCCGGTGCGAGTGTCCCTTATACTAGCGTATGTCCGCTTCATATTTAGCTGATTCTGAATCAGATTCTCGATCCTCTCTGCGTCTTTATTAATCTTGGAAAGCCGCTTTGTGAATATATCAACGTCTTTTGCTGGTAGCTTCCATTGCTCCCAGAGGATCCTCGCCCCCTTTATATCTTGCTCATCACTGCTATCTAACATACTACCAAATTCATGGTTCTCAAAATCCTGAATGAAAGCTTGCAGGATTTCCTTTTGCTGATCCAGGATTTCCTGTATCATTACCAGTTCCTCTCTAACGTCAGCAATCCTATGCATAAAATCACGCTCTTTCTCAATATCTTCGGGCAGCGATTTCTGGGTCGGATCTGTATATGCCTCAGCGTCGGATAAGATTCGGACCACGCTGGTCTCGAAAATATCAAGGGGCGATGGAAATTTCCCACCGGCTTGGGATTTGCCAAATTTTGAAAGGCGATGGGTTATAATACGCATAGCTCGTAATGCAGTATAATAATAATCATTAAAACCTGGGCCCCAAATTGGACTAAATTCTTTGATTACGTTCTTAAAATCTTCGTGGAACGTACTCTCTGGAATCGGTTGGAGACATGGCCCTTCTTCTGTGTAGGCAGTTACAATGCAGTTATCAGATCTCCACAGCCACAGTTGGGACACGACTAAAATCGGCCTATCACGGTCATCAATAGGTATGCCATCAAATGTTTCCTTGTACTCTCTGTAAACCACCTGGTCACCATTTCGATGTTCGAGTGCTTCTTTAGAGAGTGCCGAGTAATAGGTCTCATCCAGTGTTTGTTCCACCTGTACTACATTCTGCGCAAGGCCACCAAGCATTTTTGACTTCAACACTAGAGTCTCCTCCCTTGACTGTGTATGATTGCTTTTGGTCCGAAGTACGAGACAAGGGAACTGTATTTATTAGAATTGTGCATTTTCAATACATGAGCGGGTACGTACTACAATACGAAATTGACCATAATGTGACTCGTAGTATGGCTTACGGCAGTTAAGCTTTGGATTACTAAGGACGGGGGTAGCACCTTGGAACCACGAGCGATATACATCCTCTGTATAAAACGAATTGCCTTGTTGGAGTTGCCGAAGAGCAGCCTGAAATGTATTAGTTGCTAATTATCCGGAGTCGTCCTTGAAACATACAAAGACTATGATGCCCTATCAATTATTAGAATACCTACCTAACGTTACGATGCGCGCTGCCGTAGACTTACGTTTGTCCACGGAATATGGCACCACCTTATGCCGGTGCCTTTAAATAATCTGAAACCTGGGTTTAGTATATCCAACTGCTTCGTCTCTGAGATACCCCGAAAGTGATATAAGTGCGCATTTGTCAAATGTGGATATAATTGACGTAGCGTCCAAAATGCGAGAAGTAGCATGCTACTCTTTCCTCCAAATCTATCTGTATCAATCATTTCTATCGGCATCTTATCGTCTCCGTTTCTGATTTCAGCGTTGGCACCTATTGTAAGTAAGTATTTGATATACTTCTCATTTGCGTCTCTTGCTGCATAGTGTAAGGGAGACCATTTCTTCTTATCCAGGTAGTTCAAGTGCTCTATGGCAAAGCAGCCGCGTTTTGATAGATACTCCCAAAGCTCAGATTTTGGGTACAGAACGTAGAAGATGACAGATCTATCAAAGATATCTCGACGTGTCAGGTCCGCATTTTCTTCTTCGACTAGATATTCGACAATTGGCAGCTTACTTCCGTAGACAGCAAATCGAACAAGGCGGTCTATGTCGAGGTCTGAACCTAATGAGCGGCATTTCTGAATCAACGATTTCATCTGTTCTGGTGTATCTGCTTTATTTATTTCATTCACTTTGTCAAATATTAGATCACTATCATTGATTCTATAATTATTAATAACGTAAGCACCTACGAAGCTCTTGCTTTTGTTCTTCAGTTAATCCAGTTCTGGATTGACACTGAGCTGATTCCGTTTGCGATTGCATTGTTGAAGAAGCACTTGCCGATGGCGGGATATCTTGTATATCGGGAGAGATATAATATTCATCAAGTAAGACATCGCGGTCGGAATTGAAAGGTGGAAAACCGACATCTGCTCCTGTCGATGATTCCGCCATTCTCCTTTCCTTTCCTTAGTGAGATGTTTGGTGATTAAACAAAAATTTCTACTAAATCTATATGTCGATAGGTAAAGTGTTGTGCTTTGAAGAGGTAGAGGGTGTGGGAGAAGAGTTGTGCGTCGCGGTCATGGCTTCCCTCAACCTCTTGTAACAGCAGCTGAAAGCCACGGCGATACAACTGGACAGCTTATCACCCAATCAGTTGGAAACAACTCACAAACCTTGGAGCTCTTGCATAATTTACAGCCCACCACTGTGACGAAAGCCAAATCAAAGATAAGCTCGTAGTTATTCGGAAGGTGTCAGGTTAGATAGGGACTCCCTTCAGCGTTCCTAAATTGATGGATTAATTACCTTTTGGTGTGAATGGACTTAGTCGGGTAGAAGGGAAATAAATTGTATTATGACAATCCAAAGAAAGAGAAAACAAGTCACAGTGAAGAGAGAGCCTCGCGTAGATTATTCTTCATGATAGTCAATTCATGACTATCCAAGTAGCCGACCGATGCCAAGCTATTATGCACTTTAATGCAACGCATATATGCGTACCTATCTATGTCATCCATCCATAAATGACACCCCCTTCCCTTCGGAATAGATCCGTTCCTCATGTTGTACAAACAAGTCCCAATAAAACATCTCATCACAACCCATCCCATCCCATCCCCTCAACACAACACGCGACCTCCCTATTTGGACTTGGCATCCTTAGGCGGGTTCTCCAGGTTATCCTTGCCCTGGCGACCCACGCTGCTTAAGTCGACGTCCTTCTTGCTTGCGGGCTCACGCAGACCCGACGTGGAGCCGGCGCCGGTAGAGATATCGCTCTGGACGCCGCCGGAGCCGACGTTGACGTTGCGGGCGTCGGCCGAGTTCCAGTCTGAGGCGACGGGGGGCTGGTCAGGTAGAGGGAGGTTGGATCGGACCTCCTCGATCTTGTCTGCCTTTGATTGAGTCATTTCTGTTGTGGCTATGTTAGTTTTGAGTTGTTCTCATGTCGTGAAGCTATATTTGGTATAACTATAGCTAGGTTAGGAAACTTACTGTTTGATAGTATGTGAAGAAGACAAGGTATGAATTTAGTCGTATGTTATAGATCTTGTGATGGGAAGTGTCTTTGAGTTTAGTTGGTGTTTTTTATGTGATTCTAATGATAAATAAGGATTAAATAGAATAGACTGCTGAACCTCGATGCTTTAATATGTACGTCAGTTGTATGTATGATATCGTCTAGGAGCTTTTGGTCCGGTAGAGCAGAAGCTATCTTGACGTCATTCGAGGGGCTCTAATATGGGTTGAAGAGAGAGTTGACGTCACAATAGACAATCTTAAGCTATCACAGTACCGATTTTGGACCCGCCTGTTCAGCCCCAAAGCTCGTCTAATGCCCCTGTCAACCTTTGAATATTCTTGGGTCCAGGAACGGGATGACCCGCAGACGACGACGTAATCGACTAAGCAAACGAGAGGCTGAAATTGAAGCAGAATCTGCAAATCTGCAAATTCGATTTCTAGTCACTGCTTACCTAGTCTAGAGGATTCTCAATACTTCTAAATTATTAAGAGGGGACACTGTATTGTTGGGTAATGGTTTACCCTCATATCAATATCTAAACGTCATACCTGGAACGCCTAAACACCACGTTGATATCCCTTACCAATCTTGCGACAAAACCACTGGCCATGCTTTTCAATGCGACATGATCTCATAATTTCTGTTTTTTTCCTACAAAGGAACATTTTCACTACGCGACTCTTTTGTCCGTCTCTGCAGATGTCGCCTTTTCCCCTTCGTCGGGGTTTAGATAATTCGCATCTTCAGCTGCCTCGTACTCAGCAATTAGGTCCGTCACTACTTCCCTAGCCTCATCGAATTCGTGGAAGTTCTCTGAAAAGGGTGCTGTCTTCTTGTAACTATCTATGAAAGCGTTGCGTTTCCGCATACCATCATATTGGCGAACAATTCGTTTAAATAACTATGTGATTGTTAGTTGATAGATTGTTGGTGAAATGTACATTTAAAGAGACTTACGGTTGCGATACTGGTGTGGTTAGCCAACATTAGACCACTAACACGATGGCTCATCGGGATATATGGACTGCGCTTTGTCAGAGCTACCTGTATGCTCGCCGGGCCCCATGGTATAAATGTTGCTAATCTTCGTTCGCGAATACGTAGTAGACTCTTGTGGACGTCTGTTGGATCAACCTCGCCTTGGATGACATTGAGAATAGAAATGTAGCAGCTCTTCTTCCCTGGTATAGTTGAGACCATACGATTCTTAGGTTGTAATAGTCGTCTCATAACATCAAGTACGGTAGTTTTTCGGACCGTTTTGGCTTGTTCAACTTGATCTCCAGTGAAGGGAGTATATGCCGTCATTAAGAAATGGCAGCGAGGCGTAGGAATTAACGATGCTAGAATTGCTAACGAGATCATTGTGCATATAACCGGGGTATCTTAGTGTTGTTGTACTGGCCGACATGACTGTTGAGACCAGCTGATTAGTTTGCTGGAATGACGGTTCCTGAACGTGCAACCTGTCTGCCGCGATATGAGATAAAGCTCCATTATCTAAAACTACGACCGAGTCGGCATTTTGTGTCAGTCGCCTCATGGAGGAAGACTGTTATATGGGTGAACGACGACATCTCCTGAATTTGTGGTATCAGGGAACACTGAGTACGTCTGGATGATCTTCTTGGGGAATCTGTCGTTCATCCGTTCCAGAAGAAAGGAGCCTAGACCGGAGCCTGTACCTCCAGCAATAGAATGAAGTAGCATGAACCCCTCAAGAGAATCACTGCCATCTGCTTCGCGCTCTATCATCTCCATGATCTCCTCGTGGACGGCCTCACCGGTCTGGTACCCATCACCCCAGTTGTTCCCTGCGCCGATGCCACTTTTACCGACATAGAAGTTCTCTGGGTTGTAGATGTTTTTGTAAGGGCCAGTTTGTATACCATTGATGACGCGGGGTTCGAGATCTATTAGAATTGCTCGGGGAATATATCTCGTATCGTCACTCTGGTAGTAGAAGACATCCTTGCGATCACCACCCTCTGTGGCAAAATCTTCGAGGTTACCGTCTTGATTGATACCGTGTTCCTGGCATAGCTGCTGCCAAAACTGGCTACCGACTTGGACATGTCAGCGTATATATCCTAGCTGCAAGAGCTCTTTTCGGGATTCCGAATGGGAATTACTCACTGCTATTGCCGCACTGGCCCGCCTGAATCGTAATGATTTCTCTTCAAAGTAGTATTAGATTGATATAAATATTGTCGGGGGGTATTTTGAGCTTGCCTACCTGGGCATTATCGGGACATGTATTTTATTCTTAGGTAAATTTGTAGACTTAGTTATGCTATGAAACAAATATTCTCTTAATAAATGCTCCCTTGGAGCTTTAACAGATTTGATAACGGGTTGTCTTATCGACGCGTAGCGCGTTTTAGGTACCTAGATGCATAAATTTGGCGGGGTTATAGTCGGAATACGGATAACCCTCTAAGGTTTCTTGTCGTATCGTTGTAACCGTACACGTGTATGCTAATTTGATTTTAAACAATTCTATTTTCTACCTTATCCTTTTACACACATCTCGTACCCACTATTGTATAAAACCTCTAGGTTAATTCAATTTCTACATCTTCACTCTTACAATACATTTACCCAAGTAACTAATATAAGCGGTTTATTATGATCTCGTTTAAATGGAATCTGGACCTACCTAGGTAATAATGGTATAACATTCACTATAGCTAAAATGGAAGCAAGTCTCAAAACGAGTTTAGCTCCACAACTCGGAGAATTAACCGAGAACATTGAAACAATTGAAACATTATAGAATCGAACTCAAATAAGAGAAACTCGGTCTCATCATATCTACCTGTTTTATAAGGTTGATATAATTGAAATAGTAATCACTTTCTTCTTGCTTTAGGTACTATTCAATATCATGACCATTGTCACCTATATCTCGTTCTAACACCAACATCTTGAGCTTTACATCGCTTCGCTCGGTATGAAACATCAGGGTACAGATCCGTTATGATTGTTCTATCCAATTAATAAAGCTGTGGATCAGTGGAACCCCTGAAGCTGCATTACAAAACAGCAAATGCATGCGTGTGATAACCTCCCGACCCCGACCTGTTGGTTCCTCTTGCCGCCAATGCAGCTATCGGTAAAACAAGTACATATATGATCTTACCTGCCCGTTCTAATCGAAGGCTAAATGGACAGCAAGCGCAGCCAACTTGGACGGGAACTATCTTACCTGCATGCATATATCTAAGATATGTACCTACATACATTAGGTACATAATATTCTCACGATCCTGCGCACACATGTACACACTGACACACCGTTCCTCCATTTTCACATTCGCTCCATCTTCCGATCTAATACCCAAATCTTTATATATCCCCATTAAACGTCATTTATCTAATGTACATCATGTCGAATCCATAATTCATCTAATTAGGACGTATTGCTATCTCTTAGTAATTCGTTTAAATTGCCTTCACATGCATTTGCTCTCTCCACATCCAATTAAACCAAAACGAATTTTCCAATCCAGATAGGGGGAAGCGGCTTACACGAATCGAGGTCGTCTTGTCGGGGGCCTTGTCGCGCAACGCGCTAATCTTAGACTTACCACGGCGCAACCTTCGAAGGGTGGGAGCCACACGCCCACGCCCACGCCCACGCCCACGCTTACGCTTACGCTTACGCTCGGTCAATCATGCAGAGATCTGCTGCTTCGACACCGACGCAGAATGCGACTCCTTTCTTTTCTACCAATATCTGGGGGAACAGCAGCGTCAATTCGATCCCTAACGCACAGTCGCAATCGAGCCAAGGTGGTCGTAGCTCTAGCAGATCTCGCCCCGGTACCAGTTCGGGTGACAAAGATAAGGACAAAGAGAGGGAATCTAACGTCTTGACTAAAGACCGCGATCGCAAACCTTCTTTTGGGCGCAAACCATCCTTTTCTTCCCCCTCCAAGGGAAAAAGACGGGGAAGTTCGTCCAATGCAGGAACAGGAACAGGAACAGGAACAGGAACAGGAACAGGAGGCCAGATCAGAACCGACGCTGCTATACCACCCGCTATCCCCCCTGACTTTGCGCTTGCTGCCGCAGCTAGGTTGGCAAAGGAACCCGATATAGTACCCTCGCCGGCGTCGACCGATTCTTTTTCTAAGATGATAGCCCGTACGGCACCAACGCCCATCAATGGCTACTATCCTGTTTCGACTACAACTTCTCCCCCTTAATTCCAAACGAGATCCCCTCTTCGCTTCATCAGCATATCCACGAAGTTGCTAATAAAGGATATCGACTTTAGATTATCTACGTAAAGCGTATGTTCCCACAACAGGCTCCTCCTCTTTGTATTTCACCATATCTCTTTGATTAGAAAGCTAATAATCTATGCTAGTCATGAGGGTCGCATCTATTGGTTCAACACATTGCTCTTTGACAAGCCCGACCTAGCACGTATGCCTTATTTTGACAGCCGCAAGCTGGCCTATCGTGCTACCAATTATCTTCTGCTCGGTCTTTCACTACCGGCCGTCATGGACCTCAACTCAGGCACGCCGCTCGAGTTTCTTCGCTCTCTCAATACCCTACTCGCCGAGTTTGAATCCTACCAGCAAATCCATACCGAGAATGGTGTGAACACGAGTTCGCTTTCCCGCGCCCGCATACCAAATATGTTCCGCCGAGGACCTGGTGGAAGAGGTCGGAGGCAATCAGGTGCCAATGATTTGTACACGGAAACCAGCAATAGTAGCCTAGCTAGCGGTTCAGCCGTGAACTCAATGCCTACGAGCGTTATCAACTTCGGTCTTGGCGGTGAGGGTAACGACCTTGTGCCTGGAGAGGAGTACACTCACCTCTTAACGCCGAACCTTCCTTTCGACCCCGACTTTTTTGAGACGTTTGCTACGCTATGCGACGTATTAATCGATTGCTACTCGAGGCTTATGTCTCTTCTTCCTACAGCGAAAGACTGTACTCCTATCATTGCGGAGCTATTTACTAAAGCTGATGCTAAGGTGCGCAAGATTATCATCCAAGGTGTGGTTAAGGAATTTGAAGATTCTAGTCGGACGGGCTTGAAACAGGAGATCGCTAGTGTGGGTAAGGTGGTTCTTGGCGGCTTGATATGATGAGGATATTCACATATATACCTATATATGCGTAACAGTGGGTTTGTGTTTTGGCTGAGTTGCTGTCCTGGTGTTTTTAGGATCACTTCCGGTTGAGGATACCAAGTAGCATGGGTTTTAGGGCAAAATGGCGTTGAAATCTTTAAATGGGATATTATGCATATAATGATCACTGGATATTATGCATATAATGATCACTAGTATACAACAATGTCTAACCATGGCGAGTATATAAATATAATTAGGCATTACTGTCTAACATAATGACCGAGACTATCATGTAACCTAAGCTACATCTCTAGAACTAACCTTATAGAAAAGGAGTGAGAATACTGTCCATCAGATACCATAACGCATTTTTAGTCTTCAACGAACTAACCATTGGCTAGCCTCAGTGCTTGACTCTAATACTGGTTATCATCACATGAACTTCACATTCGTCTGGCACTTGAGTTACCAAGACCCTACCCACATCCTTCGATCCGGAGCAGCATAGACGGAAGAAAGGCTTCCCACGAAGCCCAGAGTTTGGGTTGTCTAGAAGTCCATCATGAAGGGAACCCCCTCACACCAAGAATAAGCCCCATCGAGTAACCGAGCCACCTCCTCAGGGAAGAAGCAGGGCAATCGCATAACTATCAATCTCGACAACAGGGGATCTACACCTATCCTTCGCGCCCCTCGTTCGCCTAATCTACGACCAACTGTCATCGACAAGCTCCCCCAGGCACTTGAACACCGAACCACCCAACCAAGAGCGCGGACTCATATCTTCGTCCAAAAGGTCTCTAAGCCAAAAAGAACGGGCCAGCACGCAGAGAAAACAAGCGATGTAGCGACAGACGGGGCGAATTATAGCAGAACAAGGGACAGATAAAGAGATATAAGCCGCTGTGCTTCTATGGCGGCGCGTTTCCGCTTTCCTTCAGAAAGAAGGATGTCCGGGGACTTTCTCCCAAAGCATTCTAGAAGAGGAGACGATCAATCATGGATCAAAAGTCTCTGTATGTAGCTTCGATAGCGATTTGTTGGGCGAGGGGGTTGTAGAAGAAGGAAGAAATTTTTATGAAAAAAGCTGGACCGGAAAAAAAGTTTTAAAAGGTTTCCATCTTTTAGAAATGACTAAGCAGTTGAAATAGTGGGGTTAACCTAGTAGAATTATTATCCAATCATATGTGGAACTCATCAAAGCTCTGACAAATATGTGACTAGCCAACTTTGAGAAATGGTTAGTTACCTAAATGACCTGTAGCTTTTAGTTGGTTACCTAGTCTTAAGTACATGTAGATTCTAGCACGCGTTTTAACTTCACGTTTATGTCAAAAACGCTTCATCTTCCATTCCCCATTCCGAATTCCACATAATAATACCGGCGCATCATATTTCTATACAAGTCACTTAGTACCCATACGGTTCTTCTAACGCTTTGCCTTCAGCTTACAAAGTTATCATTGTTTATTCCGAAGGGCAGCCTCGTGCTGTATCCTCTATATTCTAGCTGTTGTCGCCATATTTACAAACCGCCATTCTTAAGGAATTACCAACACTACATAACTATACGGCTGTAACGGCCAGTATCGCAATTCAAGATGTCGGGACTCTTCGGGAGCAGCGCTGCTGCATCAACTCCTGGTAACACTATTGGCGACTTAAAGAACGATGTTGCCCTCGCGAACCCCCCCGATGACACAGTCTCAGACCTCGCCTTTTCCCCTACCTCAGATATCTTAGCCGTCTCAAGCTGGGACAAGAAGGTCCGTATATATCAGATTGCTGCCAACGGTACTAGTGAAGGGAAGCATATGTATGACCACGAGGCCCCTGTTCTCAGCGTAGACTTTTCTAAAGTAAGTTGATTTATATTACTATCACTATTATACTTATTGAATATCGTGTATTAATACATATCTTAGGATGGCAACAAGATTGTGTCTTGCGGTGCCGACAAGCAGGCCAAAGTCTGCGACCTACAAACCCTCCAGACGGCACAGGTAGCCGCGCACGAGCAGACCGTCCGATGCGCACGTTTCTTCGAGCTACCCAACTCGAACGGTCCAATGCTCGTGACGGGCTCGTGGGACAAGACCGTCAAATACTGGGACCTACGACAAAGTACGCCTGTCGGATCCGTCACTTGCCAAGAACGTGTATATTCCATGGATGTGCGTAATACGCTACTGGTAATCGGCACTGCGGACCGCTATATCAACGTCGTCAACCTTCAGGACCCCCTGAAATTCTACAAGACACTTCAGAGCCCCCTTAAGTGGCAGACTCGCGTGGTTAGCTGTTTTACAGACGCTAGCGGTTTTGCTATTGGCAGTATCGAGGGTCGTTGTGCTATCCAGTATGTGGAAGAGAAGGACTCAGCGTACGTAACCAAAATCTTTTTTTTTCCAAAGATGCCCTCTATTTTAGTAGATTACTAACGTAGTATAGCTCTAATTTCTCATTCAAATGTCACCGTGACCCGCCTCAGGGTAACACGACGCAGGTATACTCTGTCAACGACATCTCATTCCATCCACAGCACGGGACGTTCAGTACGGCCGGTAGCGACGGCACGTTCCACTTCTGGGACAAGGATGCGAAACACCGGCTGAAGGGGTACCCTTCGGTAGGAGGCAGCATTACGGCGACGAAGTTCAACTCGGGAGGCACCATATTTGCATACGCGGTCGGATACGACTGGAGTAAAGGCTATATGGGCAACAATCAGAACTACCCCAACAAAGTCATGCTACACCCCATCCAGGGAGACGAGTGTAAGCCTCGCCCGAGCGCCAAGAAGCGGTAGAGCGCCTACGGCTCAAGGCGGACCAAGGCGTGCTTGCTGGATAAACAAGGTGATTGGAATATGGAGCAGTAATCAGGGCAGGACAGTAGTAAGGAGACTATTGGTATGTTGTCGTGGCTGCTACTTGCCCACGCATATATCCCAACGGATTAGTTTACCGAGCAGGCGGATAATCAGAATGTGGCTTATACCGCCCCGAGTCTGCCTTGCAGGAAAAGGAAAAGGAAAAAAAGAACAACAGAAGTTGTAGGAATATAGCCGCTGTAATGGGCGGAGAGCAGAGAGCAGAGAAGAGAGGGCAGGCGGACGACACGATACCATGTGACTTTATCTACGTAGGTAGAAGGACAGATAATAAAGAATACGCCTTTATTAATTCATAGTACCCAGGTGCTTACCAATTCTTTATGGAGTGTTGTGGGGGAGGTGATGGAAACGACACGATAGGGGAGATGGGCGCACCAGTCCCGACTTCCTAGGTCCACCCGATAGATACTTCGGTAGGTACCTAACCTATTTATGCTGGTTCATATTGATTCAGTACATCTTCCCATTGGTTTCTCCGGGGATATCCGCTGGACATAGGTATGTACCTACCTAGGTTTTAACTTACATGCCCAGAGCGGTTCTTAACGCATAACGCCTCATTGCTCAGCCCTTCAACGTGGTCCAATAAGGGACTTGATAAACTATGTGCGATACGGCACAATAAGGGGATTTTAAAAATAAATAATTATTATTTTTTTTAAAGAAACTACTACTGAATATTTCCAAGCAAACTTCACGAGTACTACCAAATACGATGGAACGGTCGGACAGGATGGTTGCAAGGCAGCCTCGGTTGCCCTACACGAATTTGAGGATGAACTTGAAAAGGGATATGGCATTATCTGCTTGTCCTCGCTGTCGAAATATACCATGGGCTAAACCAGCAAACTCAGATTACAGGATACAAAGACGAATCATACCGTCACCCGATCCCCGCGAGCGGCTCAAATCCTCAAGCTGTCGTATCTGCTGGCTTCTTGCGGACATCAAACACCCATCATTATATAAAACATATTACGATGCAACATTCAAGTGTGATGAACAGATTATATTGCCTTATTTTAATTTATTTCCGTGGCTACAGGAATGTGTGTCGTATTGTCATCGGGCACATAACAACATCTGTATTCGAGGACTATTCCCCCCAGCATCTCGCCTCCGAGTAATTGATTGCAAACACCCACAACGAATCGTTATTTTCGCACCTACGGTATGCAAGTATGCAGCTCTTTCATATGTTTGGGGCAATGATCCAATTCCTATCCCCTCTCAAAGCAGCTTTTCACAGGTGGTTGTTGATGCCATCGAAGTCACCTTATTGATGAAACTCCAATACCTTTGGGTTGACCGTCATGTAAGTTTCGCCATCATACTTTCAATACGAAGGATTAATCTAATTTGTAAACCTTATATAACAAGTGCATCGATCAGAGCGACGAAGACAAACATCATCAAATCTCCCAGATGGGCAATGTTTATGCCAATGCAGAAATCACAATTATTGCTGCCGCAGGAACGAATCCTACCTACGGTCTTCCCGGAATAAGCAGGCCCCGAGCACGACAATTAGACACGACAGGCCCTGAACTCAGCGACCAACTAAAGGCGTCCGTTTGGGCAAGCCGTGGTTGGACATATCAAGAAGGGTTTTTATCACCAAGAAGACTTATCTTCACCGATTATGAAGTCTCGTATCTCTGCGATACAATAGGCCTAGCCGAACACGACAAAGAGCCAAGAGACATAATAGCAAGCGATAGGGATCATCATCTTAAATCATTCATGCTACCCTATTTCAAATATGACACAGTCATAGATAGCATCGACAATATCTACGAAGTGATAATGGAATACAGCCGAAGACAACTAGGTTACCCTTTGGATGCACTACGTGCCATTAATGGTGTTATAAGGCTCCTAGAAATCAAAAACTTCACTTTGATTTGGGGAATTCCCATACATAGAAACCTACCTGCAATACATTGGTACCATGAACATCCAACTAAAAGACGCCTTGGCTTCCCCAGCTGGTCATTTCTCGGCTGGGATGGTCCCATCAAAATGTATCCGCTTCACTCTCACTCCCAGCACGGCGCACCATTCGAAGTATCGTTAGGAGATGGAGAAAACTTACTTTTCGACGGGAATCCCATAGGTACCATTACCACGAAACTAAAGGGACTTGGTGAAAATACGCCTCGATATTTGCACCTAACAGGTTTTACAGTTAACCTGCCACTTGAAAACATCCAGCAAACAGAACCAGTGCAGAGCTCGCGTCTAAGGACTATCGGCAAACGTGTTAGCATAGATGCATACTCTACGCGGCCTTCCAGTGGAATATATGCGACTCTAGAAATACGCCCCGGCCTTCGCATGAAGGCTAAAACTAATATTGATGAAAGCAATTTTACGACATGTAACGTGCTCGGATTCATCCTCGGAAATGATTCTAGGACAAATATTCCCACCCTCTGGAAGTTAAGCCATGCACATTTATTACTATTAAGACCTAGCGGTACGTGCTACGAAAGGATTGGCTGTTTAGGGCGGTGGCCGAGCCGACAACATCTTCCCTCAATAATGAATAGATATGCATATTTCGAATATTTTATAGAATCTGATGACGTATCAGATATAATAGAATTTCCTAAGACACCATTGTGGTTGGAGGAAGCTGAAAAGAAAACTATTGTAGTAGGATAACTTCGGAAAGTATTAAAAGGTACTTAGGTTAGTTATAGTACACGATAAACTACTTTACCGCTCAAATAATAGCTTTAGGACATCTATAGTAAGAATTATTGCACAAATGTTGCTATAACGCTATGTCAAATAAAATTTAAAGGTATTAGTAAGCTGCTATTTGGGGATGATCATAAACGGCGTCGACCTGAGGCTCGTAACCGCATATTGTCCTTGTGAAACTCTGGGCTAAAAAGCTAATCACCATAAAGTACCTATTCAAGTGAGTTTGTCTTCTCATAGCTAAAAGAGCAGACAGGGGCTATAGAATATGGCATGCCAGAAGTAGGTAGATCGACTGACATATTGGCATAGGCCATAATATAGAATCGCAATCGTAGTAGTGCTTATTATTTAGAAGCATTGGAATTACAAACGGTAAAACTTACATCTTAGGAATTCTAAGCTGTTGCTAGGTAGCTGCAGTAGGGGGTGCGATGGAAGCTATAAAATATGATAAGAAACCCCCTCATTACTCTTGATTTCTGATTACCTAGTTGAAGTTATCATGGCTTAGAGATTAGAGACGTGATGAGAGTAGAAATAATCCTGTGGCAGGGCAGCAAGAAGATCAACTTAATTAGGTTAAATGTCCAATGGTTTACCCTCTAATCCCAACTTTCTGTTTTTATTATTGTGATCTCCTTTTCAATTTATCAACTCCTTCATTTTAATCTTCTCCTATATACCTAATGTTCTACTCCCCACTTTCCGTAGTTTGGGGTTCTTTGAGTCCGTGAAAACCTGAGAATATCGTCTACAAAGGTGTATAGCAAGTACCCGAATAGACCTCGTCTACATTGTTCACGTGTATAATAAAATAGGCCGGGTACCTGCTCCTCCCCCCGTCCTAAAGTGATTCTAATACTGAAACTTAATACTGAAACTAAGTGCTGCTAGTATAATGAGGTAGGTTAAAATGCTCTTGGCCCTTTTTTTATCATCTAGTTAGAAATTGTTCATAGTATTTGATAGTAGAAAGCACTTTGTTTTTTTACATAACTAAGATATAAAATGGATGTTAGCTATGAAAAGTTGCAATCTACTACCCAGAGAAAGTTCCATGCCGCCTCCCTAAAGAAATATATGTAATGAATGCGAATAGCTTCTTTCATATATGTAATAGGCTGACACTACCTACCCTACCCGACTTGCTGTTGATTAGACGGTAGTTATCTGGAGCAATATTCAAGGGTGTCAAAGGGCTTCAAGGCAGTTTGTTCATAATCTATGAAGATTTCTCTTTCTGGCCTTTGGGCCTATTGTTGCGACTGCTCTTGAAAAAGTCGGCTATTTTCAAGGCTAGCTTTGTCCATTCAAGGACTGTCTGCCACCAACTTTTAGGGTATGACGACTCGGTATCCTCTGTACTCCCTATCCTCACTGTATCCTCCGTATCCTCCGTATCCTCCGTATCCTTTATAAGTAGGGGGGCTGTTAAGGTGAGGGGTTTTGGGACAAAAGGTTGAACTTTGCGAGGTTTCGCTACTTGATCCGTTGAACACAAGTCGGTGGTGCTTAGCTCATACCCAGCCGATCGTTGGGATTGCACTTGTAACTGTGAGGTAGATGGTGTTGGTAGGGCTTCTCTAATAGGACTTGATGTTTGGAGGGCATCGGACTTGACCGTGATGAGAGCGCGACCACTTTTGATGTGGATTTTAGCGGTGAATGTGTCTGCATTCAACACTTTAGCTGCTTCGGTTTCCGTTATGGGAACGCCACTTTCAATCTCGCGAGCGACTTGCAGTTTTATACCCGTTGCATTCGCGTAGCGTTGTTTGATAAGGTTCCGGAGTTCGTCCCTTCTTTGAGATTTGTCGTCCTCAAGGTCTAGTATATGCTCGAAATCGTCAACGGATCCTTTACCTCCTGGAAAGCCGTGATGGTACACCGTACCGCCACGGTAGCTTCCTGGCGGATTCAGGATCCGGCTTATATCTTCCTGGTTAAGTAGTTCTGGGACTGCGTTCCAAGTCTTTCTGAGGGTCTTTGGGGACCAACTATCCCACTGGTTCGTGACAAAGACAATATTTCGGAAGAATTTTGGGCCGCAGAAACACTGAACCCATTGGATGGTTTTGAGGTCCTCTTTGCGAAGTCGGTTTTGCATTCTGCCATAGACAAAAAGAAGACCGGCAACTGTGACGAAAGGGCCAAGAGCTTTCAAGCAGCTGATTATATTATAAAAGTTTGCCATGTCGTCC